TTGGGGGGGGGAAAAAAAAGGGGAAGGAAGGGAGGAAAAAATTTTAAAGGGAAAAGGGCCCCCCCCTAAAAGAAAATTTGGAGGGTTTACTTTTTTTTTTATACTTTTTTGGTTTAAAAATTGAATTAAAAAAGCCCCCTTTAACAAAAAATTTTATTTGTAAATGAAATCAAATGGAAAAAACTTGGGTTATTAAAGCGATTATTGGTCTTCCAGTTTACCAATATATTAATCTGTGCGATCCTCTGTTTTTTAGTTCTTGATGTTTTTAGAAAACAATACTTTTGGTTTTGTTTTTGCCACTTGTTAACGTCTCAATGGCTAAACAAAATACCAGATTCTTCATTGCTTTTACATAAGATGTATTGCTTGGTGGTCTCCACAAAAGGGTTCAGTTCCCCATATGTCTATATGGTTTTAAACATTTTCCATCTGCAATTCTTTGGCACTACGTTTTAATGTTAGCAAATTTTTAGTAGATACATTCTGAAACAGTCAGAATAATCTTTAAACGTTTTCATCAATTAGCAACCAAACACACGCAGAAAAACGGTGACTTGAAATAAAATTTTAAAAAAAAGGATTGTTGTTTTTGCTTTAAAGTGGTTTCGATGTGCCTTTTCTGCTAGAAAAATTTCTGAATGGATAAGCAAGAATTTGTTCTTTTTGAATAATATGTCAAGAAATTTGCTTGTAACATGGAAATTCAAAATCCGAATATTCCTGAATACAATCGGAAAACTTCATTGGCGTCCTTCTTTCACTCCTGAGTCAACATTTTGGTAACAAGCATTTAATTTCCACCTCATTTCTTTGCTTGGAAATCTTCATTTTCACTTCCTCTGATGGTTAAATGCATGGTTTCCTGTGCAGGCTAATCAAATGCCCCCCCCTTTTTGGAACAGAGAATAACGGGAAATTAATCAGCGGACTCATAGACGACAGTGGCTTGATATTCAGTGAGGAAGATTGTTGCTAGCCAACTGCAGCCTGCTGCCTGCTTTTGAAGGGGGTGAAGGACCATTGTCAAAGTGCTGCTGCTTCGCAGGTGCTGGTTGCCTCTCTATCAAACTTCGAAGTCACGTAATGCTTCAGCACAAATGGTGGGCATTCTGACCTAATATGCAGAAAGTTTATACTACATGTGCCATTCATTTTCTTTGTATTTACTTGTTCATGCTTTTTTTTACTGTGCAGTCACCGATTCAGCCTCTTAGATTGCTATGTGCCTGACAAATTTATCGTCTAAATTGTTCTCCAATACTATTGAGATCAACATTTTACCAGTTGAAGTAAAGGTATGGGGACCCAAGGGAATCTGATCTTTACTCTGATTTTTTCATCTTTCTCATGTGCGCTGGTACTCTTGCTTGACATTGTTTGGGATTCCTCTCTCTGAGGACAGATTGGGTTCGACATCTAAGGCTCGTCTCCATTTTTTTTCGTCCCTAATTTTTTTCCACTGCTCTCTTCTTGTTCAAGTAAAGAAAAGTCCGTCTTTAATATATCTATACATACATACAGCACACACACAATATATAACATAGCAAAAGTTTTATCAAATACTTTTTTTCAGTATCTATGAAAATATTTATGCATAGAAATAATGAGCCCATTAAATCTTGATCAGCGAAGTTTTAATTAGGCACCTAAATGATTTTGAATAACTTTTGGATTTGTCTGGTGGATTTCTTCTGATGATAAACAACATGAAAGCTACAATTGTTATTGAAACCTGAGTCCAAGTTAGACTTTTTACATGGAATAGAATATAGTCCCTTGAGCTTCGTCATAATGCCTTTCTCATTGACTGTTTATTGGCTTGATGAATTAGAAACTCTGCTTTGCTCCATGTTTTGGCACAAAATAAAAACGCCATGGTGTGAATTTTTTTATTACATACATGCGAGCATAATGTTCCCCCCCTTTCTTTTGTGCGACATCATACAGGATACTATGAAACCAAAATAGTCTATAACTGTTTTACAGGAGTTTTTTCATTTTTTGTGCTTTTTACCATAGATTCCTGCTTGCGCTGGAATATTATTCTTTGATATGTTATTTAATTAACTTGAGCCATCTACACAACGTTAAGGAGACGTACGAGAGATCCTTTCGGTAAGGCTAAGATCAAGGTTTAAACATCTCTCTCCGAAGCCTTTCACGAACCCATGCTACTCGGGGACATACGCAAAGACCTGGGATGTTTGTGCGCGAGTGGCATTATTTCCGACGCATGCGCAGCAGAGTGTGGGAATCGGAAGCTTTCAGCTCAAAATATGGGACGTGGGAAAACTGCTTGAGTGCAGCATGATTCCTTTTAAAAGCACTAAAGGAATAGTTTTTTGCCCGTTGATTTTCAGCCATAAACTTTTCCCCCGAGGCTGGCAAGTCTTTCATGGGGGCTGTCTGCTATGCTATACTTAGAATAATCAATTGTAAAAATGTTGTTGTGTAAATCTGATGCATATCTATTGTCTACAGTCAAGAATGAAGCACTAAGCATTATGGACACTAGATGAATTTATAAAATCCATCCTATACAAGAACTGCAATCTGGGGTTAATTTGTGGTTGTTTGTGACTAGATTTGTCAGCAAACATGATATATCTTTGGTACTAGTTTCAGTTTTATGGATGCTTATTTTGTTAAATGCAAAGTTTTCAAGTGAAGGCATCATTTTGGAATGTTCCGCTTTTTGGTGGACAAATGTACAGACCATTAACTTTGGGAAATAAACTGAAAATCTTCATGCTCTGTAATACTGTAGCTTTAATAAAGTAGTAGAATTGGGTGTAAGGAACATCCTCCGATAATAACCTGAATTGAGTTTTAAATTTCTTCCAGTTCTGAATGTCAACCAAAAAAGCACCTCCATAAATATCTGGATTGAGTTTTTAATTCTTCTTCGAAATTTTTAGTTTTAAATTCCCATTAGTCAAAACGATCTCTTACTTTTAAATTTCGCTTTAATCCACAGGCAACTCTCCTCTTTATTGAAAAAATCACTTCGTCAACTTGGATGCCTTCCAATTAATGCCCAAAAATCATATTCACTAACAGAACACGAATAAAAGATAAACCATTTTCATAATGCTAGTATATCTTCTTCAATTCAGTTTTCTTGATCAAGAGTTTCCAACCACCACCTTTATGATTGTGAAAGTAGGGTGAAAGATTCAGAAAATCATGCTTAGAATGTCTTACAAGAAGGGAAAAAAACTTATATTACTTGGTTTGAATTGAACTAATTACATTTGGACATATAAACCTTTCTAAAGAATGAGTTTCCATCTACATGTTTTGGTTGTTTTGACAATATCAAATAAGAACATTATAAGTGAACAAGATGAAACGAATAATTCCTTTAGAAAAACTTCAAAGAATCAATCAACACCGCAAAAAAAAATTTTTTTGGGCTAAACATTTTAAGCGAACTTTAAATTAGTTCACGACACAACTGCATTGCTTTCTGACTTACCCTTGAGTAACAGTAGGACATCAAGAAGAAGAACCCAGTATGAACCATATGCCTTCGCAAAACTTAGCCCGCCCATACTCTGGCTTGTTTCTTGGCGTTTGTTCACCACATTTGTCTGTGCTAAAAAGGTGCTGGTTCAAAAGCCAAATGTTCTGATCTGAAGTCGCAGTAGGTCCATACTATTCTTCTTCAATTCATAATAATAATGACTGGTTATCCATCCGCGATTAGGCGTAAGGTATCAAGCGCACCACAGGTTCGATCATTAGTAACTCCCGCCTTCTAATTACATGATAAGATGGTGGAGACATTAAGTCTTCCATCATCAAGAACAGCCGCATAACGCAAGCAATTCCATGGACTGGATCTTGACGTGAGTGGAATTAAATAGAATAAAATGGACGGCTTAGGAGACAGGAAGAACAATGCGATATGCCAATCGAATGGGCTTCTGATAAAGAGTCCTCCATTTCGTCACTGACATTGTCTTTAGTGCCGAAATTTTTGTGAGTTGTTCTGCCGTTGAAGAATGGAGGTGACATTCGATTTTGCTATCTACTGTCAACTTTATGTTTATAGTACGCCCATTTACCTCCTTCCGGTGCTGGAAACGGGCGTAGTTTTTATGCTCCAAGATTTCGTACTTGGAACCTGTCTTCTTACTCAGAGCTGCGGAATTGCAAGATATGTCTGACGACATGACTACTGTCTGTGGACATATTGCTTCTGATTGTGCTTTGGCTTCGTCTAATTCTTCGAAACCGTGCGTAAGCGCTTGGGATTGTTCGCTATGTGTTCTCTTATCACTGATGGGAGTTCCCTGGTGGTGGATTCCTAGCAGTACTAGATACCATCCCAGCAGCCCTGTAATACCAGAAATTTATCGATACTTAGGATCAAAGGATATCTTCAATACTTAAATAAATAAACAAATATTACATTGCTTTTTTTAAAAAGAAAAAAGAAGCCAACATACTATAAATATATACTAGGTGAAAATAAGTACGCCTGACAAAGCAATCATTGGAAATAGGCACTCCTGATAAGGCGCAGACACCTAGGCCCTGGATTGCGAGAACAAACTTATTTACCTGCTCTCCTCAACAATACGTTTCTTGCTAATGGACATGTTTGACTTTGTAAATCCCACTTTGAAGCGATGCCTCGATGAAAGAGTAAAACATATGAGCTATCAACAGCACAAGAAAAAATAATCCGAAGAAGACATGCTACGAATAACTTATGGTATAGATACAGATGATTTTGAATGGATTTGCTTAATTTGACTAAAGAGAGAGACGATATTGCACTAATAACTTAAAAGAGTAAATCAGATAAGGGAGAATTTGTAAAGTTGTGGATATTGGATGAGTGTTAAAAGCAAAGAGAATAAAACGTATTTAATAGATGGCATTCATAATGTTGCCAAAGACCGTGATATAGATGTGAGAAAGAGTGCAAGTGCAATTGCAAGTTGTACGGTTGGAATAATGGTCTTCTTTCTTTGAACAAATTTCTGTGTTTGGCTTTCCATGAATTTCATTCATTCATTGATTAATATTGAGACGCCTGTTCTCTTAATTGCCTGCCCCTTATTGTCTTACCTTACTTTTTGTAAAATGAATTTTATGGATTAGAAAGCGATAGGCTAGTAGATAGGCAGCTTTCATTTTCACTTTTGGTGACTTTGGTGAGCAAATATAATCATTAACAGCTTGATGCATGAAGAGAAAGTACATATATTATTAGGTTGTGTATAATTATGTCTTTTAAAAAACTTCATATCAATGTATAGCAAGATGTTGATTGAAGTGTATTAAGTGAGGTCTCAATTTCGTCCAGGGATGAAGAATAAAGACTATTATTAAAAAGATAAAAAATTTCACTTAAATTCAACTATCCGCAAAGAGTATTTTTGTTGGTGAAAGGGTAAAAATCATTATACTTTACTATAGCACGAGGAGTATACACAGCTCATGGTTATTATAAAAAAAAAATTCAACAACTCTTCAAACTTTTTAGTGTACCAATTATAGATATACACTTTAGTTGCAAATTGAAGCAATTGAAAACCGAGATGATGTAATTTCTTATATGATTGAGCTATTGATTTGAACTTTTCTTTCCACTCTTGAGTGCAATGCTAGGACACGCGGTCACGGATGGGCAAGTTTCAAACCTGGCCTTCAGGCTGTATACCATTGACCATTGAAGCAGTGACGCTAATAAATATCAGTTTCTTAACATTTGTTTAAATATAATCAATTATCTAAATAATTCTAAAACAATCAAATTTATTGTTAGAACTCAAGTATCTAGGAATCAATTTATTTTCAAGTATCTTAATCAATTGTCGGATTGTATTTATAAGAATAATGGTTTTTTAAATTATAATAAGTTGATGTTCAATTGGAATATATGCCCTTAAGCTAATTTTCGTATTGCAGCTTTGTAGGTGATTAGAAAAATTTTATTTATATTTACATTTAATGGTCTAGAGCACTGTATTTATTTTTTTTTTTTGAATTTTTTAGAAAAATAAAAAGTTGATTTTTCCGTCCTCATTAATTCTAGGCATATTAAAATATTTAAAATAGAAGAATCTTTTTTACTTTTACAGAAGATTTTTCTTGAAGTTTCTAAATCATTTGCAAGTTTGACATTAAATGAGATGGGCTTAAATTAATCAAGGCTCAGTGGCGGAATTTTCTCACATTAAGCAAATTATTCAATTATTATTATTAAATCGGGACTCAATATAATACAATAGTTAACTACATTTCTGTTTAAGAGGTATAAGAGTTAACGATTTGTAGTTAAAAGAGTATATACTTCAAAATCATGTATTTCAGAACTGGCACCAAGATATGATGGCTAGTAGAATAATTATGTTATACAACCGATCTAATTATAAGTATCAGGTTTGTGGAATCATTCTTTTTTTTTTTTTTTTTTTTACAATAAAAAACTGCAAGCAAAAAAAAATATAGACGATATAGTATAACTTAGTATAACCCGCGTAGCTATAGAGTAGTATAATTATTGCTTTACAATAGTGGTCCCGAACAGGGAGAAAAAACTGGACCAACTATTACATATTATCTATGAATTGGTTTTGAATTGATTTTTTTTATCTTGCGATAATATTACGACGATATTAAACTGCTAATCAAAATAAATATTTAAATTGCATTGACAAATATCAAATGACGAATAAGTAAGAGATTTGATAAAATATATATACAATATACGAACCATATAAAAAAAGACAAACAAATGAACGAATAAGTTTTTAGAAAATTCAAATACATCAAATGAAAAAAAATTATTTTGCCATAAGACATTTTAGCGAGGTTCATTAGTTTGAACCAAACACTGCATTGCCTTTCTCGATTTCACCCCTTGAGTACACAGTAAGGACATCAAGAAGAACCCATATGAACCATTGCCCATTCGAAACTTCAACAGCCCATACTCCGCTATTATTTGCATTGTTCTCGCCACCCATAAGTTCTGTGTAGAAGGGCTGTTCATCAATGGTCTGAGTCTGCAAGTCATTGTCTCTATCTTCATCATATCCCATGATGATATCTGGTTATCATCCGGTTAGACGCGTAGGATCAAGCGCCACCTGTGGATCACTTGTAGGGGCCCCATTATTATCTAGATGGTGGGCCATCTTAGTCCTTCAAAAAAAAGGCCGCCTACGCAGAATCATCGGATGGATCTTGAGAGCGTGAGTTGAATTTAAAAGAATAACGACGGTTAGACGAAGGAGGAAGCAAGCCGATGTGTGCCAAACGAACTTGGGCTCCTGATAAAAGTCCACCGATTTTCCCGTGCACTGAAACATTGCTTTACGGGCCCGAAATTTTGGTGAGAGTTGTTCCTAAAACACTTTTGAAGAAATGGAGGTTGGCAGATTTTGTTCTACATATTCATTGATATCTTTATATACGCCAGCATCTCCATCTTCCTGCCGGAAACAGGCCGTAGTTTTTCTGCCTCAAGTTTTTTGTGAACTGTCCTTCGCTGCGAATGCAATGAAATGTCATGCGCAATTCGATACTGTTTTGTGGAACATATTGGCTTCGTATTGTCGTGCTTTGGCCTTTCGTTAATATTACTTTCGACACCTCGTAAGCTTGGGACTTGTTAGCTTACGTGTTTCATACTTCTGCATCAGGGTTTTCCCTGGTGTGGGATTCTAAAGCAGTACTGATCTCAGTCACATCCCTGTAGAACAGAAAATTATGAATTAGGAACAAGAACATATTTTCATAAATTAATTACACTAATTGGAAAACAGATATTGCTGACATTCGCCTTTTCTTAAAAAGAAAAAGAAGCACATATATAATATATAACTTAACCTAACTGCATTAAAGAAGTCAAATGGAAATGCATCCTGATGAGTCCAGCACCTGAGGCCTGGATTTGACGGAGGAACACATATATGTACTGCTCCTTCTCACACAAATCTCTTTCTCTGCTAATTTGACATGAACTGATTTGTAAACCCAACTCTAAGAGATGCTGATGAACGAGTAGCCTAATGAACACAACAACTACAGCCATAAATAATGGAATGACGACAATCCGTCAAGAGCCTAGTGATTTCGAAACTTTAGTACGCTACCATTTCGTAACTGTATTATTAATCTCAAACAGGAGAGGAAAGTTGAATGATGGAAGTTTACTATTATTAGCTGATGAGTGATGAGATTGGAAGAAAGTGAGTCGGTAGCAATTCATATTTATACCACATAGTGGAGAGAGTAATATTTAAAAAAAAATTTAAATTTTCGGTAAAAAATTTTTATTGGGGAGGTAACTCGAAAAGGGTGGAAGTGCTGAAGTTTTCCTAGTTTCGGAGTAGTTTTTGTTGTGTGTCATCAGACGGCACAATGATATTGGGTTGATACTTTTTGGCTCTATTCTTACCCTTTTCGTCTTGCACGTCTGCAGTCTGACTGCTTGCCTTCCTATGGTCCCAACGCATCGCACCAATAGTGGAAAACTTGGTCAGAGGATGTAAGGCTAGCACCATATGAACTATATAGAATATAACAGATATATCTCAGATTAACGAAACACAGTTCCCTCAAATCGAGACTTTAGTACCCTTCTTAGCTTCTTTACAGCTTAGTTACTAGGGAAGACGGAGCTTAAATCTAGCCGGCGAGGCATTAGCTCCAAGCAGTATATAATAGAATATCGTTCGTAACACTAGCTTTTACTAATGTGAGTCTTGACCGACAGTGCTACCCCCCGCATATGAGCAACTAAGCATAATCTACGTAGATTACTATTATACAAACGCTATCAATACTAATAAAAAATTAGTACAGCCTATCAAATGACTTTAAAATTGTCTATACCTTAGTTAAAAAAATATTGTTCTCTAATCTTTTGTGGGGAACAATATAGCAATTATATATCTACCCTGTGAAGCGTCCTTTTAAAATAGAGCGCGAAACCTATTACAATGGATAACGTAGTATTCTCACAGAATATTTTATCCTATGTGTGGAACGATTAATCGTCTTAAAATTCGATGCACAAATAATTGGGCTTCGTATACAAGTCATACCACGTATAGTTGTATGCTAACATAAGTAGTACATAAGTTTTCACAAATATATCGGTTTAACATATGTTCTTACTTCAAGAAAAGAGACATTGAGTAAGGGAATACACTGATATGAATTTTTTTTCTAATTCCGCACATCGAACGTCAAAATTGTGTCTTATTTATATTGAAATTACTAGAGTCTAGGTAAAAACTTATTAATATAACCCGAGAACTAATTAATTAAACAAAAAACAATAAAACACTCCAAAATTCTGACGACCCAGAAAAAGTAAAAAAAAAATAAGAAAAAACAAGCACTTAAACCAAAGTTTACAGCACTGAGAAAATTAAAGTATAGAAGAAATTGAAAAAATGTGAGATTGTCCTTTATCCTTATTAGACAAACTCTGATTGTCCGCTATGACTAAAGATCAGTTAATAAGAGTAAAAACACGAAAAAGCTTAGGGGATACGCGCGTTTACGTGAAATCTTAATATAAGTTTTGAAGAGTTGAGCGTTCTCTCAAGAGGACATGTAATAAATCAATGAAATTATATCTTAAGAGCATTTCATTTGTTTCGTAAAATAACTTGTTGAAAAAATATTTTCAATGAAAAATATTTGTTGCTTGAAAAATATTTTCCAAATAATTATATTCTTCGCCGTTGTTTGATCTTGTGGATAATTGAAAATTTAGTTAAAAAAGATAATAGAATATTTAATCAATATGCCAAAGTTTTTATCTGCATCAAAACCATAAAAAATATTAACAGACTAAATAATAAAAATTTTATAATTTTAGCCACCAACTTTAATATACTAAGATATTGAAAGAAAGAGAACATAGCAAAAGAAATATATAAATAAAATCGGGACCAGTTTATCCTGTTGGCGCCCGGTGGTGGATAGTCACGTGTAAATTGTCGGTGAGTCGTTACATGTTGACACGCTGGTGAAAGTGACATAGTGGATCGATGTAATAAAGGATTAAAAAATATTGGACTTATAAGGAGTGCCAAGTGTTCTAACAAAATACTTTTAACCTCTCTCAAGAACGGAAAGTTATTTTTCTTTAAAAAAAATAACTTAATTATCCTTCGATCAAAACAGGAGACGGAAAATGATCTTATCCGTTATCTTATTTTTGATGAAGTTCCCGAAGCAAACCTAAATTTGAGACAAGTTAATTTTGCATGGAAACGGTAAAATGTGAGCCTCAAACTCAACCTCACATCACTTTCTCTTTATCATCAAAAAGCTGTTAATTAATTAAATTTGCACATAATCAAAGAAAATGTTCGCTCCAGCTACCACAATCATTTCTTTTATTTACACCCCAATTTAAAATAAAAAAAAAAATACTCAATCTTTGTACACAAAAGTCAACGTAAGGGAAACAAAAAGGACTAGATCAAAGAAACAAAGGTTTATATGTTAAATCATAATGGAAATGAACTATTCTAATGAAGCCAAAACACTCCGAAAATATTTCGAAGAGAGAAAATTTCAACTTCACTTGTAATATGCACTTGCACTCTCTTCATCGACATACTGATACAAAGCGTCTTGAGCGCAAAATAATCGTCCCACCGTTAAAATAACCTTATTTCTCTTCTTCATCTAAAGACACTCACTCATAAACATCCTATAACAAAACACCTTATTTTAATTTCCCTTTCTCTTAGCAGGTGGCTCCATTATTATTATACCTCCGTGCCTGTTTAGTTTTATTTAATTGCATTTCATAATAATAAACATAATTTAGTCTCAATGAGGTTCAATCGTAGCATGTCCGTCTTCCCTTATTTTTCTTGTTCTTTTTCGTGCCTCCATAATGGCTACTACGCCTTTGATCACGCGTCGCTTCGAGTGGAGATTTTAACAAATCAACAATGTCATGTAGCCGGGGGATAACAATGTGAGCAAGAGCATAGAATAAGCTTTGTGTCTCGCAATGACACAGGCTTCAGGTGCCATGTCCTTATTCGGAATGCATTTCCATGACTGCTTTGTCAGGCGTACTCATGTTTTTCAACCTATATATATCTGCTCCTTTTTCTTTCTTAAGACCAAGCAATGTAGCATTGATCCTAAATCATGTGGATAAATTTTCTCGTTCTTACACGGGCTGTGAGCATTCAGTTACTGCTACGCAATCCCACCAGGCAACCCATCAGAAAGAGACACTAGCTCTTAATGAATCCAAAGCTTACGAGGTTTCGAAGTAATCATAACGAAGCCAAAGCACAATATAGAAAAGCAACTACTCGTTCCACAGACAGTAATCATGCGCCAGGACAATATCTTTGCGTCGCAGCAAGACAGACAGTTCCAACAAACTCTCGGAAGGTGCACAAATAACGACTAGTACGCTCGAGTTCCAGCAGGAAGGAGGGAGATTGGGCGTACATCAAACATAAATAGCAGTAGAGCAAATCTGCCACACCATCCATTCTATCAACCGCAGAACAACTCCTCACAGAATTTTGCCCAGTAAAGGACATGTCCAGTCTGACGAAATGGTGACTTTATCAGGAGCCCATTCGATTGGCAATAATCGCAACTTGCTTCTCTTCCTTCTCTACACGGTCTTTCATTCTTTTAATTACCACTCACGCCTCAAGATCACATCCCATGGATCTCTGCGTAACTAGCGGCTTTTTTGAAGATAGATGCCGCACCCATGCGCTAAATAATAATGGGGGGACTCTACTAGTGATCAAACGGCTGGCGCTTTGATCCTACGCCTAACGCGGAGGATAAACAGGATATTATATGGGAATTGAAGAAGAGAATAGAGGAGCTATGACATATTCAGAATCAGACATTGATTGAACAAGCCCTCTCTATAGCCAGGAATATTGGTGGTGAACAACGCAAGAAACCAGCAGAGTAGGTGGGCTATTTGGTATTTTTTTGTTATTTTTTTTCTTTTAGTTTTTTGATTTTTTTTTGCGGACGATTGTCTTCGCGGCGACGGTGCGGCGAGCGGGGGCCAGCACGGAGGTTCGGTGGAGTGTTGGCAGGATGCATGTCCGTCTGTGGTCTAAGTGGCGGGGAGGAGGTGGACCTTTTATTTTTTTTTTTTTTTTTTCGGCATGTAAAGGCAGAGATGGGCAAAAAGGGGGAGGGGGTGTCTAGTGGAGGGTGATATAGACGGCTCAATCAGATCCATCCATGGATTCTGCGTATGCGGCTTTTTTGAAGACTAGATGCCCACCATCTAATAATAATGGGGGCTCTACTAGTGATCCAACGGTGGCGCTTGATCCTACGCCTAACCGGATGGATAACAGATATTATATGGAATTGAAGAAGAATAGAGGACTATTGACTTCAGATCAGACATTGATGAACAGCCCTTCTACACAGAATATGGTGGTGAACAACGCAAGAAACAGCAGAGTATGGGCTGCTAAGTTTGCGAAGGCAATGGTTCATATGGGTTCTCTTGATGTCCTTACTGGTACTCAAGGTGAAATCAGAAAGCAATGCAGTGTCGTCAACTAATTAAGCTCTGGGACAAACATTTTGCTAATTAGATAATGTTTTGCAATTTATTTTTCTTTGATTCTTTCATTTTTTAAAAAGAAAAACAAAATCTTGATTTATTTTATGTATAATTTTTTTACTCTTGTTTTCCCATTTTTAGGTTTGTAAATCAATTTTCAGCTGTTTTAATATGTCAAATGTAATATTCATTCAAGATAATTAATGAATACAATTTGTAAATCATTTTTTAAAATTTTCAACCAAATTGGAGATATAATTAGGTGCAACTTGTAACTACTTGCTGAGGTGATTGACTAGCTAGAGTCGCACCAAGATCTTTGAACTTCGACCCAGTCAAACTAAACCTTAAGTCAAAATGTTAATTAAGTGTGGGTCAGTTATTATGGTTGGCCTTAAGACAGTTGGGTTTGGGACAAAATTCTTCCTAAGCTTGAGATCACTTTGGGTCCATTTGTCTCAAGGCCCATGACAAAGCCCATCTTCCTTTTTTTTTTTTTTTCCCTCACCACGGTTCTAAAACCCATTGAAAACACTCGCTACGTTTGATCTTCCTTTTTTTTTTTTTTTCCCTATAACCACCACGGTCTAAAACCCATTGAACACTCGCTACGTTTGATTCGAGCATTGTAGGACTCATACAGTGAGGAGATTCTCCCTGCTTGTAATTTTCATATCTAATATTTAAACTCGAAACTTTTGATTAAAGAATGAGTCTCGATTAGAGATGGCATCGGGTTGGGTACCTCTTAAAATGCACCAGTCAAACTTGATTTGATTATAAATTAGGTATCCAAATCCATTTAAAATCTCACATTTAATACTCAAACATCTAAAATTGATTATAATTACCCGTTTAAATCTCTGAACCCATTATTAAGCATTAAACATACATTTTATTTTTTTTTTTCAAAGATAAAAAGTAAGTAAAATTATAAACTTATTATTTTGACTTAATAAAAAATATAATATAAATGGTAAATATAATTATACCTTTAATTATAATAAAAAGGAAAAACTATATATACAATTTGAAAAAAAAATTAGTTTAAATATTTTTTGAATATTTATTAAATGAGTAATAAATAGCAGGTACTCGAGTTCTTAAATTCGAATCTAATCTGAATATGATATAAATAGTGAATAATTATTTGAATCTATTCTAATATCGAATCGGGTAGAATTTCTATTTTTAGTCTCAACTGCATTGTTCCAACTAAGTCGGGTCACAATGCCTTCAATTTTAACACAAGCCAAATATATAGGTTCACTCACGGCGGAAGTTTGTTGGAAATATACTGATTGGAAGTCTGTTGGAACTTGGAGGCGACAATTTCACCGCCGTCTACCACGTGGCTTGCAAAACCGTTGTGGTCCGGCGCGGCACGGCACATACAATTATGAGTTATCCACGCGATTCCAGAAGAGAAAATGACGGTCCATAAAACTTGCAACACGTGTCGCCTTTCAACTACATTGTTTCGAGTAGAAATACAATGTGCGGTGTCATTTTTATCAACTTCCCAAAATCAGTGAAACTGCCGGTCAAAGAGTATAATCTGGGAGGTCGTTTAGATCCATGATTTTGTCGTTTTCCTCTCAATTGTTATTATAACTCTAAGAAGACGAAATTTGAACAGCTGTTGTGAGTCCAACGTGTAAGAAAAGGCTCTTCTGCAGTTCGAAAAAGCAAAAAGCTAAAAAGAAATAAGAAAAAGAAAAGGCTGAAGTGCCTTTCAAAGACACAAAAAAAGAAGGGTAAGCGGATAAGTTTGCCCTAGGAGAAAAATATAAACTTAAATCTTATATTCCAAAAAAAAAATAAATTCTTAGTTTGTGACAAAAATATAACTCGTGGCGTTTTATATAAAACTCAACATCCAAAGCCGCATGTATAAAATATATAGAATAATTGTATAATATTTTTTATAATTTTATCACTAAAAAAAACATTTTTATGTATGGATCTATCCATGTATTAAGTTAATAATTAATTACTTAAAAAAAAAAACTCTCACCGTCATGGATAATCATTATGGAGCAAAATTGATATTCAAATTTGAAACTAAAATGCCTAAATCTAAATGATTGTGTTTGGAGCCAGTTTTGGTTTAATTTGAAAAGAGGAAGAAAAAATATCACATTTTTTCCAAATTTCTTTTTTACGGTATTATTTTCTTTCCTTTATAATATAAACGTTTGTTTTTAATAATAACTTTTTAAATAATTTTTAATGCTTTAATTATTTATTTTTATAATAAAATTTAAATTAATTTTTTAAAAATTAAAGTAATTTATAAAAAATTTAGTTTATTTTTTTAACATTTTACAAAAAAATTAGTCAACAGCTAAACGCAGAGCTTCTGATAATTTGCCCACAATCGGCAGTCTAAGACAAAAACTGTGTTTGAACTGTAAATTTGTAAGATGTAAAGTTGGCATCCGTGAAGGGTAGTAGAGTCATATAACAGGGGACAAAAATGATATATAAAATGACAGCACATCAAGACATGTAGCCGTATAGTGTCAGCTTTCAATTGGACCACGTTATTCATTAAATAAACTGCTGTCAGTCTCTCACGTGACGTCTTCAAGGCCCACTTTAAAACATTTTGCGCCAATTTAGAGAATTTCTGGCTTTGTGATTAAAAAGTATGTTTTTTTTAATGTTTTTTATAATTTTTTCGTTGTCAAAAAAAATTAATGCAAAAATATTTTTCTAATAAAAAAAATTAAATAATTTTGTAATGAAAATAATATTTATTTTTGAGGATAAACATATTTCAGATATTGACAAATGTTATAAATTTATATTTTTTTAATTTATTAATCATCGTAATTACTATTACATGTCATTATTTACCAACCACTGCTATCGGCTACCATCACCATTGACTAGCGACGGTTTTCACAATTTACGTTTTTTTTTTTTACATTCTTCTTGTAGTTTACAATAAAAATTTTAAATTATAAAATTTCTATTATTATTAATATTTTTACAGTCTTCTGAGATAAAAATTTTAATATTTTTAATTAATTATCAATATTATAACCAAATAATGAAGAATAATAAAAAATATTTTTCAACAAGTTATTTTATGCAAACAAACAAAATATAAGAATATAAAACATAGAGTGCTATTTAATTATTTTGCAATTTTATATTAAATGCTATAAAATATTTTGAAAATAAATTTTAGTCAACTCACATTAATATTTAGTAAAATAGTTAACAGAAATTCAAATAATAATGTTGAACACTCTTACAATTTTTTTGGAAAAAAGAGGAGGAAAATAATAGGAGAATATTAAAAAATTATTAAATTTTTTCATTGTTATTTTACACCTTTATATTTAAATGGATAATAAATGAAACAAAATAAATTTATTTTTCTTCGTTCAAAATCGGTAAATTTTCAAAATAAAGAAAATATTATTATTGAAAATTCACGATTATATCTACGGTATTTGAATAATTATTTTCTATTTCAATTGAAGATATTTAAAATATAATTTTTGATAATTTTTGCTGTAATTATTTTACAACACTTGTGTTTAGATGTAATGAAGGAAAGAAGACAAATTTATTTTCCTTTGTTTAAAAATAGTAAAATTTTAGGGTAAATAAAATGTTATTATTAAAAATTATTTTCATTTTAAACAATAAATGTGATTCTAATTATTTTTGAGTATTTGGTAATTTAATAAAAATAAGTGAAATCTCCATTTTTTTTCCATTATTTTTTATCTAAATTGGAGAGATTCTGTCACGACCCGACTCCATGGGCCGGACCGGCACTAGAGCCCAGGTAAGCTTAAGGCCTCCGAGGCCCGTAGTAAGCCTGAAACACTAGAATCTATCACTAGAGCCCAGGTAAGCTTAGGCCTCCGAAGGCCCGTAGTAAGCCTGAAACACTAAGAAGATCTATTATTCTCGGTATAACAATTTCAACATTCAGCCCATATGATTATGGGTGGAATATGATTATGAAAAATAAACCTCAACATTTTATTAGTTCTCGGCCCAAGTTTATCTTCTACAGCATTCTATAGTTCGGGTCCAGTTTACAATATATCACATTCTAATATGGCTTACAGAATTATTTTGTCTATGTTAATTCACGACTAAATATATGTAAATCCTACAATTGCGGAGTCACTAACTCTTGGTATACATAGCTTTTTATACACATAATTACATAGTGAAATAATTATGGAACTAGGAAAATTTCTCTATTGCCCAGCGCAGAGAAACATAGCCTAAATCGGATTAAAGAAAAACTTACTTCCTGAAAAATCAAACAAGACATGTGAGTTTTCTAAGGAGTAATAATTATTGCACAACACAGTCACACAAATCGTGTAAACATATCAATCTAGTCATCCGACTAGGTATATTGCTCACGCCAATCAGTCCACACAAATGGCATGTCACCAGCACTCACAAACAATATCACCTTCAAATAATCACATTCACGTGGGAAATAGTCAGTGGATTCACCGAATCCCCAATCAGCCGTCCTCCCCACATGGCTCATCCTCCACATGGTTGCACCAAGGGAAGCCGATCCACCCATACTGCCGACCAGTTCTAAATCCTCACTAGACAACCCTCTCATTGTTTTTTCTATTCCTCTCTTTTCTTTTCATGTACCAACAGGAGGCACCGGTGGTCTCCATCAATCTAATCATCAAGCCGCTCACAACAGGAGGCCACCCTGCGGGCTGCGGATCAAATCTAACTGTTCCGCCCGGCTGCGGCAACGACGAGAAGCCAAACTGGTTAACGGGTAACGGTAGGTGCACACGGGGCGTCGATCTCCCATTTACGCCGGCTAACAGAAACTATGGAATAGGATCCACTTTAATAACAGAATCAAGAATATAAACATAAATCAGAATTCAGGATCCGTTATAACCAGAAAACAGTCTCACAAAACCCATGGTGGACCCACTTCACAAACCCATGGTGACCCACTTCATCCCAATTCCACACAAGCAAAGCACAAAAATATCACAACACAATTAATCAAACATTGCAATCGAATGCAGACAAATTAATCAATTAGACATCGTAATGTAATGTACAATTAAACATCCAAAATCAATGCAAATAAATAAATAAATAAATAAATAGTAGTAACAATAAACAATAATAATAAAATAAATAACAATATTAATAATAATAATGAAGATAAATAAATAAATATGTAAATAATTAAATGAATAATAAAGATAATAAATAATCAGAGCACTATATATAGAGTTAATCTAAAAATAAAACTTATGAATTGATGTTGATTTACTTAAACTAGTTCTAAGTTTCTATTGGAAATTCGGCAGCACCTCCCCCCTTAAAAATTTGGAACTAGTCCACCGATTTAAATGATCACATACTATTATATATTTATCAATTCAATACATACAGTCCATCCGTCGGGCAATCAATCAACTTAATTCTCAATCCTTCCTTTCAAAACAAACCATGTCAACACGCACCAATTAATTTACAAATATAATAAACCTCCAAGCATGTTCCAACGACCATATTTTAATCCAAGCATGTTCCAACGACATTATTAATTATTCTCTAACTAATTATCAAATAAATGTACAATTTATAAACAAAACTTGTATCATTAAGTTAAATTCAACCATCCTCGTTTGATAGTTACCTAGCCTTTAAATATTATAGAACTTTTTATCTTCATTTCTTCATCCTTGCTTAAAGGTGACAATCACATATTCATACCTTTATCATACTTTAAATCAGCCAATAAGAACAAATGCCTCAATTAAATTAAAATTTAATGAGTACATCTTACCAAGAAATCCAATTTACAATTTAAAATATACCAACTAACTAATTCTTAACAAGAATTAAATCTACTACTTCAAATATTCCATATCAAGCAATAATTTATATAAATGATTAAAAATAGCTGCTGCCACTACCAAAAGTTTCTCAATTCATTCGCCATTTCAATTTATAGTCCAATTGAAATGGTACAGTTAAGGTTTCCTTCATAACATACCAAGAACTCAACCAACGACCACAAGTACCAACTATCATACTAACGAATCATCATTTCCTTACAAAAATTCATAATAGATTCAATAATCTAGCTATTCTATATATGAATTCAATTTATAGTAGCTTCCATTTTATATATAATTTATTTATTTCTTTTAATCAAAATTTTCCTAGTTTTAATCTTCAAAACCAGTTAGCTAAGAATTTCCATTTCTATATCAACCTCCTCCTATTCAGATCAAAATCATGAAAGATGTATGAATAGGGTTGAAAATAATTTACCCCGACTATGGTGCGAAAAATTCAAAAAAAAAAAAAAGCCAGATAATTGCCGACATTACCAATGCGAGCAGGCTCCTGGCGTTTGCCTGCGCCAGCCGAACAGGAAGGGGAGAGTGGAAGAAGAGACCGAAGCTTCTTCACCGACAAGAGAGAAATCGGACGCCGCCCGGAAAATTCAACAGGAGGAGCTCGACGCGATTTCCGATCGAAGGATGTCGCGCGCTCTCCTGCACCTTCTGCGCACGCCAGGAGACGAAAGAAGAGATGAGAAGGGAGGCCGTAATCCCACTATGGCGTGCGAGGGCGACGGCAAGCATGGCACTTGTCTCCGGTGATCGAAAAACGAGAGAGGAGACGGCCGGTGAGGTCGCGCTGGCAGAAGGAAGAGAAGAAAGGAAGAAAAAAGAAAAGAAAAGGAAAGTCGGTTCTAGCAAATTCTAGCCATTCCGGTTCGATTTTCAACCGGTTTGGGTCTTTAATTTGATGATTTTCGGCTGATTCTACGGATTTTTCCACGAGTGCTCAAAATTATTTTCGTGTGGTTTTCGAAAATTCAGATTCGATTTTCCGGGTTCAGTTCATGTTATTCGATTGTTTTAGTTAAGGTTCCGTAACTTTTTTCGTCCATCAAACTCAATTAGAGAATAAAAAAAAATATTAATAGTAACAATATTTAATTTGCAGGGATAATTGTAATTTTATATATATTCATAATAGATTAAATTGGCTGAATTTCATATGTATTTCTCGAGAAATTTTAACTGTTCTTTCAAATCCGAGAATTTCCGAATATATTTGGGCTTAGGCCCAACTCAGTTGGGCTTAGGCCCAACTCACAAACTTGGGCTCGAATTGAAATTGTTTGGTATTTATAGTCCATATAGTTAAAAATCGAGATTTTTGATTTAATAAAAATTCGAAAGTTTCGAAAATAAAAATTCGAGGTATTTCAGATTCAAAACATAATTATTGACAATTTTCTATCTAAATTGTCAACTTATTTCCATAATTATTTTACAACATTGTGTTTAAATAAAATAAAGGAAAAAAATAAATTATTTTCCTTAATAAAATCTAGAGTAAAGAATATTATCGTTGTTAATATAGACAATTATATACTCATATAATTTTAAACAATAAATGTGATCCTAATTATTTTGAAATATTTATATAATTTAATAAAAATAAGTAAAATATATTTCTCCATTATTTTCTATCTAAACTGGAGAGATCTAAAATATATTTGTTGATAATTTTTTATCTAAATTATCGTTTCTCTTTTCATAGTTATTTTCTTCACTTATTTTAGATATAATGAAAGAAGTAAAATAAATTTATTTTCTTTTGTTCGAAAAGGGAAACATTTTAGAGTAAAAAAAATATTATCATTAAAAATTGACAATTATTTACTTATTTATTTTTAAATAATAAATATAATTCTAATTATTTTTAAGTACTTGAATGATTTAATAAAAATAAATAAATTCTCATTGTTCTTATTATTTTCTACTAGAGTTGCAAAATATATGGGACCAAATAGAAAATAACTAAAATGTTATTCCATTTCAATATTTTCCTCCCATTTCCAAAAAAAAAAAAAAAAAAAAAAAAAAAAATCCTTTTTTAGGATTACCAGTCTTTTTCTTTTTTATTATAAATCTAATTTAATTAATTTCGTAATTAAACATTTTTAATAAAAAAAATATGTCTTCTTTCAAAAAAAAAAAAAAAAAAAAACCTTTTTTTAGATTAAGTTTTTTCTTTTTATTATAAAATTAATTTTAATAATTTCTAATTAAAATTTTTAATAAAAAAAATATTTTCTCATTAAGAACTAAAAACATAATATCTAATACTTCCTAAATAATACTCAAGGATTTGCAAATATTCCAAAATATTAGCATTTGAGTAATATTGCATAATTATATAAAAAAAAAAAGGAACAACAGCGTGGATGACACTCTCCGATACACTCGTGCAAAGAAGAGTTTTAACAGCCCATTGGTTCTGGTTAGTAGTTAGGACCCGAAAACGAAAGTCTAACCTCCGTCTGGTTTTTTCCTTAACCAACGGCTCTTCAGAAAGTAAACCAACTTTATTTACAAACTGCGCTCAACTGTACTCATACTGAAGTACTGTAACCGCCTTTTGTACAAAGCAATTACCCTCCTAACCATCTTTTATTTACAATCAGCCCGTGCCTGCAATCCCTATATATATATCTGTCTTGCTTTACCCTAGGTTTGCCCAATTTGCCTGTTACGCCGCCTTCGAAAAAAAAAAACACAAAAAAGAAATTGCTCTCTAGTCTTTACTGCGCCATAATGGCGACATCAAGAAACAAATCCAACGGGTCTTCTCTCTGCACGTGTCGCCGGCCACCGGCGTTGATTTCGTCGCCGTCGTCATCTTCTTCCTCTTTTGCTTCGACGGCCTCCAGCTTCACAACTCGATCTTCCGCCTCTTCTGCCACCGCGAACTTATTCACACGTGCCACATCCCCTACACGTGTAAATATGTACAGTCACCACCATCGCCAGAACACCAATCAATCGACGCCGTCCTTGCGATTCTCAATCGATCGTCCAATCTCCCCCAACCGTTCGTTATCCATGAAAAGGAACGCGTCCAATGGCAATGCAGTGTCGAATCAGAAAAGAACGTGTGCGTGTTCACCTACGACGCATCCAGGCTCTTTCCGGTGCGCCTTCCACAGGGCATTGATGAGAAACAATGGCTATAGTACACAATCGGCGTCGTATCACTCCAGTAGCAGACTGAACTTCCGGCGGTCGGCGATGACTAATTCGCTGGTGAGGATCGGAGGTGTGGAAGGAGAGCTGGTAAAGAGAGCATTGTCGGCTCTTATTCGGCCTTCTTCGCATCAGCTTCGGCGTCGGGCCGATTTCCAGCCGAGACCTAGCCGGCTCTCCGTCATGTCCAAAGCCAGCGATTCATGAATTCTTTTGATTTTGCAGCGGTTTTTGTTTAAATCGGTGTGTTGACTCAGTTGCTTACACATAATTTTTCTTTTTTATATCGTGATTTTATAGATCGATAACAGTAGTAGACGAGGCAATATTTGTAAAGATCGGGAAAGATCGGGAGATGATTGATTTGATTGTAATTAAAATTTTGTTGAGGGACTATTAGAATTTTGTTATTAAATCTTTAGAACATTTCTTCTCGTTAGTGAATCCAACACTCTGACCATTTCGAATATCGAGAATTTCTTCTTGGACATTTTCTTTTTAAATTTCAGTTTGTTAATACACTTTTCCTCAGTAAATTGGTTTGTTTTTCGAGGGATATTATTTTAATTTTAGAATGCATTTTTAGTAATTTAAATTTGTTAATCTATTATTTTATTATTAAGTCAACAATCCCTCTCATTCCTCCTATAATCCTCTATAATATTTTACCTTTCAACTGGACTGTTTACGCCCACTGTAACTTGCAAGTAATCCGAAAACGACAACGTTTTCTCTCGTCCCTAACCCCGTCACCATCAGCTTTCCACTTCCTTCATCCATCGCATACCTTTCGACACAACTTGAGTTGAGTTACAGTTGATCCTACATGTTAATTTTTTTTTTCCACTAATTTTAATTTGGATTAATTGTAACAAAATTTTGAAATGAGGTGATACAATTAAAATAAAACACAAAGTTTGAGACATTTTAAATGACTTGCACACTTGAAAAATATATTACTCTAAATTTCATATTTCTATTTTCATATTTCTATCACAACTAAAATATATCTATATCGTCACATTACTCTCCTTATCGCACATTTAATAGGTAATCAGCTAATACTTATTTTTGAAATTCAATTAACATATCTAATTTAACTATTAATCTATGATTTTGTTAATCTTAACAAAACTTACTTGATTATTTCAAAACCATGAGCGGAATATACTATTCAGGTTGTTATACTTGTAAATTTTCTAATTAGAGTGACCCTTGATAAGTTCCAATGGACCTTACAAAATTGATAAGGAGACAAAATTCACATATAAAAGCCCTCATCGATCCAATGGTCAATATAATCTATTGTCATACAAAATTACTATTAATTAATATTTAATAATTTATAATAGTTAAATGTCTATTTCATATTGTAGGAGATGGAATTATAAAATCTTCTCAATCTTTTTACTTCATACTAATATATTTTTATACAGATTGAAAATTTTTAAAAAGGCCAAAATTACACTGTGAGGCTATACAACACGGGTAATCCTCCCATTGGCTCACCAAATTGGTGAAAATAATTAATATGGTCGAGAGGACTCAAACTCAAAACCTCACACTCCTCACATCAGTGAGAAGACCAACAAGACCATCTACTAATTGGCTATAAATTGAAAATTTTGAAATTTTCATTCTTACTATTTTTAATAATCCAAAGAAGTTAATCTAATGTTATACAAACTACTTTTCTTTTTTTTTTTTAAAAAAAAAAAAAAAAATCTAGCTAATGGCTATAAATTGAAAATTTTAAATTTTCATTCTTACTATTTTATAATCCCAAAGAAGGTTTAATGCTAATGTTATAACAGAACTACTTTTGTCTTTTTTTTTTTGAAAAAAAAAAAAAAAAAAATTTTTTTTTTTTAAAAAAAAAAAAAAAAAACTTCATGTTGTTGAACAAAAATTGGTATTGAAATCTCCAAAGTAAGTGATAAGTTGGATAGAGATATCTAAGAAAAGGTCAATTTCAGATTATTTGAATATAATAATTCTTTCAGATTAATTTGGTGTGATTGTAAATGAGTATGAGACCTGTGCGGATTGTCCTATGTAACCTTAAAAATTAATGCTTAAATTTTTGTGGGATATGGATTAGCTGCAACTGCTTAACCACTTCATTAACATATTTATTTATTTCCACTATGTCATTGTAATTGATTGATGTCAGATTAAAATATTTAATAATTCATCATATAATATATATATATATATACAATTATAAATATAATTCAAATCTGAAACGATAAAATTAAATATAATTGCTGAAGTTGAACTTTATAATAAATTTATATTTATTACATAGAATTTCAAAGAAGTGAAATGTTATAGTTGTTTGACTTTTTGTTTATTTACATTACATGGTAATAATATGTGTTAATCGTTTAGCCAATATTTATTTAAGAATAAGTTGAATTTATAAATGTTTATTAATCGAATAAAATTATGCTAAACATAACTAATTAGTATAAAGTTAAAAAATTAAAGACATGTTAAGTAACGATTTTTATGGCTTTTAATGATATAAATAAAGTATTTAATTTATAGATTTTAATGATACATACGGTTATTTTCCTTCGTCTCCTTTTCATACAAAGGGTAAAGGTATAGTATTTAAAAATTTTTCTTTCACTTTTCGAAACATCTAACATAAAAAAGGTTTAATTGAAAAAGAAATTCAATTTTTGAGATTTTTGTAATTTTATCAAAAATAACTTTTTAATTAGACAAAAAAAGAATCATACTTTGTAATTCTATCAAAAATAACCTTTGTCACGTGTCCTCATGAAGAAGACGTTCATATAGAACTATGAAGAATTTCAATTCCGAAAGAATTTGTTAACACACTGTTCCATTAAATTTGATCTCAAATGTAAAAAAAATAAAAATAATTGACTAAATTATTTCTGAATTAATACTCCTTTAATTTAATTGAGACAAAATTTAATACATATATTTAAATAAAGATAAAATTAAAATAAATATTATTTCAATCTTTTAAAGTATCGTCTAAATAAAATAAAAAATTATCAAATTTAACCGACACAAAGATTCCTAATTAGAACCTAGTCTCATGAGAAGGGAAGGAGAAAACAAATACTTGGAATTGGACAGAGTAAAAGTAAGGTGGTTGTGTTATTGGAGTTCGGAAAGCCAATCTAGGCACCATTGTTTCAGGATGGGAGACACAGTTACATGCCTTTGTCAGTTCTCACGCTTCACCCTCTCATCACGTGCCTTAAAAATTACCTCAACTCACTAACCAAAATTCAAAGCTAAAAGAGCTTCTTTCTATAAGTTCAGTTGATTTACAAAAATATTACTAACAACTAAATTGTATTGGTATAATTAGGTTTCTATCAAGGACTAGTGAGGTATTTTGTCCAAGTTTTCTCAAAAAAAAAAATTGTCTGCACAAATTTTATATATCATGCTTATATTTTTAATTTTAATTTTTTTTATCTGCACAACAAGGCCTTTTCAAATATAACCTTTTAGAATTGGGCCTTTTACGTGAAGGGCAGCTCTGCCTAAATTGAGGTTGCCGGACCAGCAAATTGTCCAGTTGAGAAGCCCAATCCTTAGCATATGTCTCGTATTCTCATTAGAAGTAGTAGATTTCAAAAGTATTAATAGGTATATATCTGTTTTTATATACTTGCCCAAGGTGTGTAAGTACATATCTGTTTTAAATGTCTACAATCCTCATCTTCAGAGATGAAGGGGCTAGTCTGAGGAGAGTTTATATTGAAGAGTATTGAACTCATTACATAAATTATGGTGATCAATCCTTTTAAGTACTCTTTGCTACTGAACTACCTCATTCGAGTTATATAATAGATAGTTGACTTTTAAGTACTTTATTTGTTTTATCAAACTATCTACTAATAGAGTTGCATACTTGTTAGCGATAAATATCTATTTTGTGATTGCTGGAGTTTTCTAATTTTATTTTTCATGTTTTGTTTAATGATCTTGATTTAATATAATAGTTTAATTTTTCCTTTAAAAAAAATAGGTAGTTGACCAATCACATTGAATGATAATTATTTTTTCAGGAAACATTGATTTGTAATATGTTTTGATCATATAAAAATGGTCTTAAAATGAAAAAGCCTATAGTTTTAATTCCCATAGAACTACATTTATTTTAAGAAAATTATTTTTTTTTAAAAAAAAAAAAAAAAACACCAATCAGTCTATATATAAAATTGCAGTGGATTGTCTGAACGGAAATGGTATGGCAGCAATAGGAAAGCAAATAATGGTTAATCTGTCGACATCTTATCCTACAGGGATCAGCTTATGAAAAATCCAATTCGAAGACTACTTTCTACATATTTGTCATCTTCTTTCTTCTTTCTTTTCCTTGATAAGGGGCATAACCGCATAAGATGTGTCTTGTCTTTTCTATGATCACACAATTCAACCATAAAAGAGCAAATTAAAGGTTCATTTGCACTTAATAATTAATGATTGATAGACATAACCTGACATTTATCACGTGTCTTTCAATAAGATTCAATTTTTATTTCATCAACATTTTTATTTAATAGCATTTCAGACCTGATTTTTGTCGGACTTTCATTTTTTTTTCACACATACCGTATATTTATTTACCAATCCAATCAATATTTCTTTGGCATTAAACAATATAAATTTTTATACTGATAATTAAATAATTAATTACTGGATTCATTTAACTTAGACAAAAGAGCTAAATCTAAAATAATTATTTCAAAAAAATTCCAGATGACAAAAGGGCTAAGAAATAACCGAATATCTTTTTCTTTTTCTTATTTCTGTATCTATATTTAACTTTTTTTTTTCTTTTTTCATATATTTATTTCTAACGCTCAATAATCGTATTTGAGTAAAGTTCTCCTATCAGTGATGATCCCAAATCTCAAAACATGGACTGATATATAAATTTCATATTTAACTCTTATATTGTTAATACATAAGATATTTAACTAATAAGCATATTCGAAATAAATAAATTGCATAAAATTTTGTGAAATTCATTTGCAATATCTAAAATATTGAGTTTGGAATGCAAAAATTTATAGAGTTAAATTCTACGAATTAAATTCTATGGAATTGGGTATGTCTAACTCAAATTCTACTAAAAGTGATGGAATTTGTAAATAAATTTTACAAAATTGATCAATGAAATATTTATTGACAAAATTACCCTTCGCTATAAACTCAATTATTTTTACTTTTCCGTTCCTTTCTGTTTATTTCTTTGGAAAATTTCAAATTATAATAACGTTATTTTTTTCTAATCCAATAATGACATTAGTTTATATTTTTATTTTTTTTCCTTTTTTTTTTTGAAAAATTTCAAACTAGTAATGATGGTTTTTTTTTTAAGTCTAGTAATAACGTTATTATTAATATCAAACTAAAAAACTTCAACAATTGTTTTCAAAATGCAATTAAAAACAATAGTAACATTCTTTTTTTTTTAGTTTCCAAATTAATTATTTAAATCAATAAAATTTTTATATTAATTAAAAATAATTATTATGACGAATGTTACTGCTTATATAATTAATTAATTTGTTGCTTTTTTTTATATTAATTAAAAATAATTATTATGACGAATGTTACTGCTTATATAATTAATTAATTAGCATGAAATATTAGTGTACTTATTTATATGAAATTTATTATTTAAATTGTAATAAAAAAATGACAAGTTATTATATTGTATATAATAAATATAATTGGTGTTTATTATTTATTTTTGTTAAATTATTGTAGCAAGAGCGTTATAAGAAAGAAAGACAAATGAATTTCACTTAAGAATTTCTTCCAAACATAATTTTGTGGAATTCAATTGAATTTCTTATTTTAAATTATAGCATACCAAACATGACAAATTTATTTGTAAATAAATTATACTTGGAATTTATTTATAAATAAATTCTACAATTATAATTCATTTGTTTTAAACGGGTTGAACATCTTTAAAATTTGTCACATCAAAGTCCATTTATTTTTTATTAAAAATTATACAAAAAAAATTGAATTTTAAAAATATTTCCACTAGAAATAATATATTGCTTTTAACATAATAAGAGTTTAATTTATTTAAAAAATTATTTATTGTCTGATTGAATTTTTTTTTTTTTTTTAAGTATTACACCGAGTATTCCATAGCTTTTGAGCATGAAATTATTCTCATTTTGAGATTTATCAATGTTTAATTTTTACTATTTAAATTTCTGACCTTATCAAAATATATCTGCATGATCTCTTCTACAAGGGTTTTTTATTTACTTAAAGCTCTGAGCTAATTTTAAAAAAATTGTTGGTTGAACAAAGTGTTACTGCTTGAATCCCTTTCAATCAGTATTGTCTGCTCGGATTTAGAGCTTACTTTATGATGTAGCAATCAAAAATTTGAAATTATTAATTGCAAATTGAATTTCATTATTCAAGAAGCAGCTTTGGGAGAAACTGTCATTTTAAGAATCAAAAGTCTTTCTCATGGTTTTATTGATTAGAAAAATACAAATCTCCCTGTCAAAGATAAAAGAAGCAAATGTCATAAAGCTACAATCACAATACTATCCCAAAAATAATCATTCCTCCATTGAAGAAAAAGTTGCTAATTTTATTACACGCCACAAGAAAATCTCTGAACTCTAATCTCTAACCTGTGAATGCTTTCTTCTTCTATTCTGCAACTGTCCATTGATCTAAAATGCCAAATATAGTGCTTAAAGCAGGGAGTAGGCCACCATGGGTAGGATTGGCTGCGGCAGCTTGGGTTCAAGTGGCTGCAGGGAATGCCTATAACTTCCCACTCTACTCTACTGCCCTTAAATCAGTTCTTGGATTCAACCAGCAACAGCTAACAATCCTTGGAGTGGCCTGTGATATTGGAGAGAATCTGGGTTTGATTCCTGGCATCGTCATCAATAAATTTCCCCCTTGGTCTGTGCTTTCTGTTGGTGTTCTTTTTTGTTTCTTGGGTTATGGTGTTCTTTGGCTTGCTGTTAGCGAAACTGTCATTGGCTTGCCTTATTGGTTGGTAAGTTGAATTTTGAATCAATTGAAGTCCTCTGCTTTTGTTTTTTTTTTTTTCGTACAATTATGACTCGGTGGATTTTGAATTATTGCATATTGTTTTCTCTCCAATTCATTTGAAATTGATGACATGGTAGTAAATTTAGGTTTTTGATTCCTTCCCTGTGTGTTGTGAGTTCTGTTGTTTTTTCAGTTGCTTGATAAACTAATAGATTTTTGATGGAGTTGCAAGCTTGCAATAGTTGTGTTGTTTCTTCCGGTTGGTTAGTTGTTTCATATTTCATTTCTGGCTTACAATCAAGTTTTTGAGCGGAATTGATTGGTTGGAGCTAAACCTTGGATTTGATTTATCTGAAAGTTCTTCTGTCTATTTTAGTTGTGACTTCTTGATTTCTGTTGTGCGTCAAATCCAAAAGTATCTGCTTGGTTGCTTGAGACCGTTGCTAGTTGTTAATCCTAATTTTGTTGAATCTTTACTTAAAAAATCGAAAATCTAATTACAAAAAAATCCACTTTGAAGTTTTGTCTTCTTAACTACGAATATATATGAATTGTTTGCTGATCTGTGCGTTATTGGATGCCATTTCCTTGATTAATTTCTAAACTTAGATTGTCGTGTTCTCCATAAATATAGCTTTATTGTTAGTGATTATATATATTTATGTGTGTGTGTGTGTGTGTGTGTGTGTGTATATATGTTCATTTTGCATTAGTGCCATGCTCCTGATGAAGTTGGTCTGGATTTAGAATCTGGTGAACTCATTTGTGATCAATGTTCAAGTTTCCTTTGTATTACCTAGATGCTTGAGACACGTAAAACCATCAATTTCTAGTTTCCTGATTGAAATAGTAACAATCATATATTCTAACCAAATAGTTAAAGGCATTAAGCTATTCCTTTGTAAAATGCATACATTAATGAATTTAGGGAAATCCTAAACTTTCAAACACAGATTGATAGAAAAAAGTGAACTTAATCTTCTTCCTGATTAAGGAGCATTGCAACTCAGTATAATGCTTTATGAAATGCTGAAAGCACTCCCGTTGAGGTATTGAATTTACTGAAGTTTCTTTGTTGGACCTCATTCTAAGAATATTGGGTCAATCGCTTCTGCCATGATTTAAAAGGTTCATCAAATTCTGTATGTACTGCAAAGGATTATTGTGCTAGGATTTTCCATTTTGAGAGTTTTGAAGCAAGAATTTGCATCTTTATTTTTATTCTACAGGACTGGAATCCCAGATACGGTCATTGATCTAGGCTGTTCATGGTTCTCATTAAACAAAGGAATAAGAATTGTGTATTCAATCTTCTCCATTAAAGCGATCAGCACATGCTGAACAATGTTAGAACAGATAAGCTTATTATTTGAGTGGTTTGCCTTACTTGGATCTTCCTGCGGAAAATTTGGGTGACTGTCTTTTACAGTCCCCTTCATGAAATCAAGTAACGAAAACTGAGTAGTTAAATCTACTCAAGCAATCCTGGTATATTTTAACCTGATTGGATCCATTTAAACATTGGTATTGAAGTTATTTTCCGAAAACCTTCTTTACAAACTATAGGGGTATATTTAGTTTAGAACTTTCATTTGGTTGGGTTATAAATATTTTTGGCAGAACCCTCCTTTTATCTTTATATTTTAATTCATCTCAAGAAGATTGTCTCCTAGCTTGGTGTTAGGAATTGTAGAATATTAAAGGGTACTTAGATCATATTCAAGTAGTTTCCCAACTTCAACTTGGACCAGGAGATTGAAAAATTGTGTTAAGGATATTTTTACCGGATTTATCTACCCTTTACTTTAAAGAGCTGTTGTTTGTTACTGCAATCCTCCAATGGCAAAAAATAGAAAAATTTTATAGTAGATGGATAAATCTTATATCCCAGGCCATATGCTGTAGTCTGCACAGGATTTTATTTTTTTTGTTTTCAGAGATCAAAAGAATCTTATAATGTCTCTGGTGAAAGGATTTTGGTAACAAGTAACATATTGAAAGTTATTGGAGGAGGTTGACGAGGCAACTGTGATTCTAATGATGGTTTTAGAGTAATTTCTGTTACAAAGTTTAGCTAGGGGAAGGAAAAACAAGGTAAACTTGTTAATTTTGCATGATGTTGAAAATAGAGTGGATATAATAAGGAGGACGGAAACAAACTAGGCACTTCTGAGTTAATGTGGATGACCATTTGGTGCATATGGTAACTTCTGCATTTATGCTGCCTAGGAAGGTTGTGCATTTCAAGATCAGAATTTGGTAAGATAGTGATGATTTTTTGGCAAAATATTTTAAAAGTTTATCATGTATATTTTGGCAAAATATTCTATCATTTTGACTTCTAGTGAAGCAATCTGCATATGCTGTTTGAAGAACTGCCTCATCTATTTTAATTTTATAGCTTCTTTAACTTGAAATGCGAGCAAGATTATGTTCTTACCTTCCAAGTTAAAAGCTAATTTAGAACTACTTAATATGTTCTAAGCAACACATATAAGCCATTTAACCTTCTACCTCCATCAGTCCAAATTTTAAGTGGTGTACCTGTTCCTGATCCCATTAATCATGGCAAATTCCCATCTCCTTTAAGGTAACTTACGAATGTGTTCTTTTGACTTTTAGAAGATCCCGTGGTACTACAGAAGTTAGTTTTTGACCACTATTAAACCTCTAGAAAGTAATTGTACGCAACTCATTTCTACTTTTCAAAGCATTGTTAGAGTTTACCAGATTAAAAATGTTCTTACAGAAACCTTATGGTTGTAATTTTTCTGTTTTCCTAGAATCTTCATGTATCCCATATTCTATCTTCTAAAATCGATCCCACTGGCCTTTTTTCTCCACTCTCTTTTGGCACGTAAATGTAGACATATGCTACAAATCTTGAAGATGGTATCGGTTGAAGTGCCTATAGATAGTGATTGTTGGCCTATTCCTGTTAATTTCATTATGTTCATTTAAGTTCCATCTGCTATTCGTTGAAATTTAGCGAGTTATTTGTTTTGTTCCCAATATCCTTAGTCAGATTTGCGGATTAAGTCTTGGTTGCAAATATTTGTCTTTTTAGCTTCTCATTTTATCATATATGTGCCTTTGACCTTCTCTATTGTTGTTGTTGTAGCTGTGGCTTGCACTTGTTGTTGCCACTAATAGCAATGCATGGTTTGGCACAGCTGTGCTTGTAACCAATATGAGAAACTTTCCTCTCAGTAGAGGTACTGTTTCTGGCATTCTCAAAGGTTATGTTGGAATCTCTGCTGCAGTATATACAGTGCTGTATAATTTGGTACTTACTGACTCTGCTTCAAAGCTTCTGCTATTCCTTACACTCGGCATTCCAGTTATATGTCTAGCCATGATGTACTTTGTTCGACCCTGTACTCCAGCTTCTGAAGAAGACTCTTCAGAGCATGGCCATTTTGTTTTTACCCAAGCTGCAAGTGTTGTGCTTGCCCTATATCTTCTTATGTCCACTATAATAAGTGATATGGTTTCTTTAAGTGATACTGTTTCATACATATTAGTTTCCATAATGGTGATTCTTTTGATGTCTCCTCTCGCAATTCCTGTCAAAATGACTCTTTTTCCGGCAAGGTCTAAGAACCATATCCCAGCATCTGATTCCTCAGATAACCTGGTATCAAGGGAAGATGGATCAACCTCAGCAGATCCTTTGTTGACACCATCTTCATCAGCTACATATCTTGGAAGTTTTCTTGATAGTGAGGATGCTTCAGAGGTGGAAATACTTCTTGCAGTGGGGGAGGGAGCAGTAAAGAAGAAAAGAAGACCTAAGAGAGGGGAGGATTTTAAATTTCGTCAGGCTTTAATCAAGGCTGATTTCTGGCTTCTTTGGGTAGTATACTTTCTTGGAGTTGGTTCTGGAGTTACTATTCTCAATAATTTGGCTCAAATTGGGGTCGCATTTGGTCTTGATGATACAACGATACTCCTCGCTGTCTTCAGTTTTTGCAATTTTGTTGGCCGTCTTGGCTCAGGTGCCATTTCTGAGCACTTTGTCAGGTAATTCCTTACTGACTTAAGCATCATGAACTAAACTGGAATGCGAAATATTTTCTTTTGTAGGAGCACCATAGTTGGTATTGATGTTTTCTTTAGGCACTCGTAATATTTCTCTTTTAGTAAGTTGAAAAAATGTTGTTGGTGTCCTTGTTTTCCCTTTAACATGTATGGAATTATCTTCTTTCCTCTGGATTTTCAACCTTCTCCCAGTTTTCCTGATTTATGACTTTTTTCTTTGCTACAATGACTAAATTTGTCACATTGCAGGTCAAAAACAATTCCACGCACCATCTGGATGACATTAGCTCATATGATTATGGTTGTAACATTTGTTCTATTTGCGTTAGCTCTTGATGGTATTCTTTATGTTGCAACTGCTCTGATTGGCATCTGTTATGGTATTCTGTATTCTGTAATAGTATCAACTGCCTCTGAGCTATTCGGCTTGAAACATTTTGGCATAATTTATGCCTTTATGTTATTGGGCAACCCTATTGGTGCCCTTCTTTTCTCAGGGCTGCTTGCAGGTTATGTATATGATGCAGAAGCTGCGAAACAAGGAAGCTCTACCTGTGTAGGTTCTGATTGTTTCAAGTTGACATTCCTTGTTCTAGCTGGCATCTGTGGATTGGGCGCCTTGTTCAGCATAATCCTGACAATTAGAATACGCCCAGTATACCAAATGCTTTATGCAGGAGGCTCCTTTCGTCTACCGCAATCTTCAGGTCATTGATGAGCAGAAATTGTTATCTATTATCAAATAAAAAGCGAGAAATGCATATCCTGCAGAGTTTTTAGTATTACAGTACTCAGGAAAGTGACTTGCATGGGCTACAAATTGCTGCCTATGGTGCAAATTGCTGAGATAGTAATCTCCCCCAATCAAGAATTAGCTAGCTGTAGGTGGCTAATTGTTGTTTGTGCAATAGAGCTTTTTGTAACGACTTGAAAATTTTGTATGTACACACATATACATCCAAGTTGTTGTGTTGGTTGCCCTTTGAGAAATGTTTTTGCTTCTGTATCAATAAAATCATGTCCTGTGCTATAATCACAGCTAGATCAATATGATAATTTCTTTCTTTCCTTCTCTTTTTTAATGTTTTTTCAAGTTCTTGCCGAATTCTACCATCAAGGTTCAATGTCATTTCTGTTAACAGAATTTCAGGCTTTATTTAACACTGAAGATTTACATGGGTCCAGTGTTTTCCTGTTTCCCTTCAAGGATTCAAAACTAGCCATTATAAAGAAAAAATATATCCCAGATTTGTTTGTTTATTTTATTTATTTTGGTGCTTACTCCAAGGTTCAATCTCTCGCAAGTCATGTGGAATCATTTTAATATCTTTTCTTTATATATCACATAGCTGCCCGCCCGTTCATCGATGAAAAATCTAAGCTTCACCATGTCTCTGCTATTAAATTCCTCTCAGTATTATCTGCCGGGATAGGCCTGTGCATCCATAGCACTACTTCAGTTGAATTGAATTGCTGTTTCTGAATAGTAAATGTAATTTAATTTTCCAGAAAAGAAAAGAAAAAGAAGGAGGTGAAGTTACTTCTACTTCACTCTTACCTATGCTCTGTTTTCAATTTAATATATAAAGTGAATGGTGTCCATGTTTCAGTGTATGCAGATTTGATAAAGAAAACCCATCTCCCTAGAAATCAAAAGATTGGAATTTAAAGATTTGATAAAGAAAACCCATCTCCCCAGAAATCAAAAGATATGAAATTTAATCAATTAAAGTGATAAAATATAGCTGCTTCTCTTACAGAAGAGATAACATAACATATGGATATGCACCGCACAACATGTTTGCATACCTAAAAGGCTAAAACTAAAACAATCAATCTCTTCATAAAGAGACTAAATACTAACAAATGCCTTCTTTTCTGCCAAAGTTAAAAAAAAAAAAAAAAAAAAAAAGAAGAGATAACATAAATAATGGATACATGCACCGCACAACATGTTTGCATACGCTTAAAAGGCTAAAACCTAAAGACAATCCAATCTCTTCATGAAAGAACAAATAAGCAACAAATGCCTGCTTTTTCTGCCAAAGTTACAAAAAAAAAAAAAAAAAAAAAGATTCAGCATACAAAAGCCCAAGGGGAGACAATCTCATTACTTGAAGAGACCCTGTGATGCTAAAGTGTGTACCCTCGTATCTGACCCACCCTCACTAATTTAAAAAAAGAACTATGTCCTTCTTGAATTACACAAAACAAGACTCTGGCTGGATCTAAAAAAAAAAAAAAAAAAAAAAGATTACAGCATACAAAAGCAAGGGGAGACAATCTCATTACTGAAGAGACCCTTGATGCTAAAGTGTGTACCCTCTATCTGACCCACCCCTCACTAATTAAAAAAAGAAGTATGTCTTCTTGAATACACAAACAAGACTCTGGTGGAAGAACCTAAAAAACCCATCTCTCACCATTAAAATTAAGATCAAGAAACTGAATTCAAGTAAAAGAAAGAAAAGAAAAGGTGGTATTAGAATGGAGTCTTTCTAGAGCTGAGGTTTAAAGTTTAGAGCTCCCTTAGAGCCTAGTTAACAAAGAAGCAAAAACTAAAAACTATAACAATTCAAGTTGGTTTGAGATTCTGGAACATAGTATCCCACCTGATCTCTTCAACACCAGTTGACCAATACCCATCATCATCACCTTCATCAATCTTTTCTTCTTTATGAAGATCATATACCACAGGACTTGAAAAACTATCAAGTCTAGGACCAGAAACCACCATAGGACTTCCATTTGTAAGCAATAACCTCCCTTGCTTACCCATCATCAGTTTCTTGTTTCTTTTCAACATTGCTCCTCTCCATCTAGTAGCATAACCTGCAGGCCTAGGAACAACAACAAGAGCAGATTCATCACGGTGAGCCAGTGCTCTTATATACTTAGCTAAACGCATCTTTGTCCTTTTAATGGCAACAAGAACTCTTGCCATTGGATGAGGGGTAGCTCCCTTTTCTTTTCTTGCAAGTTTGAGAATCTCTAGCCTATGTTTTGCTATTGATATCCCCATGCTTTGAAGAAATTCATGGTTAAAATAAGCAATATCTTCTTCTTCAAGCTCATTATGAGAAAAGGCAAGACCATATTCATATACAAGAGAAGGCTCTAGGCCAGTTTTTGATAGCCAAGAGAACCAATCCATGGCTTTTTTTGATAGTATATGAGCTTATATGTCTGCGTTTGATAAAATGCCTAAGAGAAAAAGTTGTGTATAAATAAGGTGGGAATTGAAAGTGTTTAGCTAGTGTAGAAGGCGGTGAGGTTTGCTAGAGGAGACTTGGACTTTTGTTTTTTAAGGGAAGGATGGGTTTTGCTTTTGTTTTATAAAATTTAACTTGGTAGTTAAATCTTGAGAGTGACTAAAGAATAAAGAAGAGGGTGTGGGGTTTATATGGTCATGATCCCTACAAAAATGGGGTAAATTCTGAAGCTTAATAAGGAGTGAGGCCCAAGACTTGCTTATGAAAATTGTAATGGCATCAATCACGGCATGGAGAAATAGTAGTGGGTGGGGTCATATGCTACTACTTGTCTTGTCTTTGTATGTAGGTGAACAAAGTTTTGTGGTTAGTGGAGGAAAGTGGAAAATTTTGGACTCTCAATTTCAAACTTGGCAACTCATTCTTTCCCTAAAGTTGGAGTGTATTTTGGTTTAGACAAAAGAAACTCCTCTAATCACTATTCTTTAATCTCTAACCTAATGATTTGAATCATGTAATTGATGGGAAATTTCTATGAACTACCAACCTAATTTTCTAGCCCTGTTATAAGGGAAACTTTATAATTATATATAGTTGTTAATTATTAAAGATTGAGATTATGAGTCTTATTATTGTAATTTGAGATTGCTCATATATTTCTATTTATATTTTATGATATTTTTTGGTTTTAATATATGTATAATGCATATTCTCTAAATATTCATGGGTAATAATGAAATGGAATAATTTTTTGCCGCCTGCAAAATAATTTATATTTGTCCCATCTTAATTAAAATAAAATCAAAAGGGTGTTCAATTCACTCGCTTCGTACAATTGAATATTGATTTATACTTACCAGTTATATTTTAAACTTTGTTCGCTGCTAGCTGATTTGTATTTATGTTATATTTGAATTATATTAATTTTAAAAAATAATTACTAATAAAATTATTTTTTACATTAATATTTTATATGATTTTTGTTATAATTATTTAAAAATAAAAATAACTATTAAATAACGTTACAAAAAAATTTAAATATTATATTCACCTTAAAATAATATATATATATATATATATAATTGAATTAATTAACTAAAGTTGGCTGTGCATTAAGGACGCTCCTGCGGGTCAATAATTGTATAGTGTTTCGTAGGAAATAAATATGAACCATTATACTAAAGTGCACATATTAATTCAACGACCCTTTTTCTAACACAAGAAATAAACATATTGTCTCCTTTTTTTTTTTAAAGATTAATAATATGGAAAAGGTATTCCACATTTGATTTTAGGAGTCTGCTTTCCTCCGGCAATAAAAAAGGTAGGTCTTGGAAAATAATAAAAATACTATAGCAATGTCTATTAAAATTTTTGACTTTGACTTAATTTTAATTAATTATTGCTAATTTTATCGTATTAGTTGTTGTCCACCATTACTATTGCTAATTAGGAGTAGTTTAAGCCATGATTTGAAAAACTTGGAACTAATTGATATCTTGGGCTATTTATAGTTTGCATTAGCAAAATACCCATCAATTGAATTCTTCTTCGCCTAAAGAAAATTTTCATTCCCAATAAAAGGAAAGAAAAATTAATTTCAAAATATTAATAAAAAAAGATCGTATCATATGATTAGAGTGAAGTTTCGAATATATATATATATATATATATATATTTCAGTTTACAGTTATAATAAAAGTTTTCACTTGTTTAATGATTTTATTAAATTAAAAGAAGAAAAGATTAAACTAAAATATTATAGATTAATTGTTGCTTTAGACTTAAACTTGACTTTAATTTTATTCTTTGCATAATTTTTATCAATCGTGGTCTGCCATCAATCACTAATTACTCTTTTTTATAGCATAAACACTAATTAATCTTATCTTTATTTTTTTTTTTTTTAGGTTTTAAATTAATGCTATCTAATTTATAATCCACCATAAGATGACCTCCGAATTAGTAAAACCATTGACTCATGCACCAAATTTTACGATTGACATATTCTAGTTCTAACAATAAATAATACACTTTTATATAAAAAGAAAAGAATTGTATTTTAAATATATACTTTTTCAATTATGAAATTATGAAGAACATAGAGTTCATTAGAATAATGTTTTAAGGAACATTAACTAAAAATGTCATCTTAAACTAGAGAAATTAAAATCATCTTGTCAGCAATGGAACTGGCAGCCATGTATAGTTCATTGACTTACCTTTTTTTTTTTTATTTTTGTCTCATAATAATGGTTAATCAGAGCATGCAAGACATTTTAGAGTAATTTTAGCCATAAAAGTTCGTAGATTGATTAAGAGCATGCAATCCTCCAATATTTTTTGAATTGAGACTTCAAATAGCATAATCATGCTTGCTTAGACAATAGACACATTAATTTAATTATGTTAATTATAACTGACAGCAAGGTTGCCTTTCAATATAATTAACTATTGACCTTTCATTAAAAGGTTTTATAATTCTACCGGTTCAAATAACTTTTTAAAAGCTTGTTGGATCATAGTTTTTGAACTAATTTTTAGATTGTGTTACTCGAAAGTTTTTTAGTAGCTTTTAGCATTTTGATTTGTCAAAATATTAAACACTATTTTTTATAGTATTCGATAATATAACGCTTAAACTAACTTTTAAAGATTAAGATAGTGTTTTATAAAAAACTAATTTATATAACATTTAGCTTTTAGCATTTTATGAAAAGCTACTTGAAAACCTAACAGCTAAACGCTACTAAAAGAGCTAACGGTTATCAAAACAGTTAATTTTGTCAAACAAACCTTTAACATGTTTAGTAACATAGCTTTTATAATAATTTTTAGAAATTGAGTTAATTTTTTACGAAATGTTAAGCACTCTAACTTTTTGTGTTTACCTTTTAATTAAACTTTTTTTTTTAAATTATACATATTGTTTTTTCTTCAGAATTTAGCTAATTGAATAACTAATATCTTTTCTTTATCATTTAAAGTTAAATAATTATTTTTACCGAACACTTTTCATTTGGAAAGCTAATGAATAATTATCAGGTAAAAATTAATATAGCTAACAGCTAAAAGGTACTACAACAACAGCTAATGTTACTAAATAGACTCAAAATCTAGTAATCCATATTTTTAGTGTGAATACTTACTCTCCAATTAATTACAAGCTTTGATATAATTAACTATCAACCATGAATAATCAATCATCAATTATTAAACAAAACAAGGGGATAAAATCAATAAATAAATTAGTGACAAGGCAATTTACCCATCTCACCATGTGATGACTCTATATATAAAAATCCCATCACATGCAAAGATTTGTTTGGCAAAGGGTCCAACACAACTTTTTGCCTGAAAAATGCACAAACAAAAGTCTTGTCTTTGCAAATCCGAAATCTCCCAAATTCACATGCCCATCGATTGCAATTTTGAACCTAAAAATTTGGTAGGGTTCACGGGCTTAGATGGTATAGAATGGGACATGTACTTGATTTATTTCCATGTGAAGGGAAATACAAACATCCATCGCTTTCCCTTTGAAGACAAAACCTTTTCTACTATTACCATTTGGATTTTTCTACTTTTAATTCTTTTTTTAAAATAATTCACCCAGCTAGAGTGAAACATTTTCTAGTTCACATCTTTGGATGTTTTTGATAGAAACAAAAAACCAAAACTTTTCTCAAACCACATTAAGTAAATAAAATAAAAAAGAGAAAGCAGCCTATGTTCCAAAATCATGGATCACCCATCCAATTTCCACTGAGTCTATGTTTTTTCTTTATTGATTCTATATGTCATTGGGTATGTACCTATCACATAGATGTAGATTTATTATATTATTTTAGGAGATTAAATATAAGAATTTATATAAAATTCTATATAATATATGAAAAAAGTGTCGAAATTTTAAAAAAGGGACGATAACTTCTGTCTGTCAATTGTGTTCATAAGTGATTTTCTGTTTATTTCTTTAATCCATTATAAATAGATATTTTTTTTCCTTTTCTAATCATAATTTCTCATTTAAGTTTAATGTTACCTTTCACAGCAACTTTTTAAATACTTTTTAACGTTTTAACTAAATGCTATTTATGTTATTTTTTATAATATTCGGTAACATAATATTTAAACTAATTTTTAGAAGTTAATATAACGTTTTATAAAAAGTTATCTTTATAACGTTTAGCTTTTAGCATTTTAAACAAAACTACTTAAACAACTATCAGTAGCTATCAACTAAAACAACTAACGGTTATATATTCAGTTAATTTTACCGAATAAGTCTTAAGTGATAAAGAAATTTGAACCTAAAATTAACGGTGAGAAACTAATTAATAAAACAAACTAAGCTTAATTAGTAAGAGACAATTAAGTTATAATATAGATGTGCAATTTAAGCATTGTATAAAGAAAAGAAATGATGCAATATTTTTTTTTTTTTTTTTGGGACAATATCGCTTTCAAAGTTTCAAAAGATTCAGTGAACTACTCAAAGCAAGTGACATATATGGTTTGGTAGGTAGTTATGGTACTTAATGCATAGAAGACATCATCTTTGCACACCTAATTTGCTTTTGTTTAACTGAAATAACAACCATCTAATAAAAGTAGTTAACAAGTTATGATCTTATTCTTCAAATTTTATATGCAAATACATTCAAAGTCCTTTTTAATTAATTAAAGAATATTAAAGGAGTGAATGATTAATTAAGAACATATAAATTAAAGCCCCCATTTCTTGGCCCTCTAAGATATTCAAGCTTGGGATAAGTTGGTCACATGACCAATAATTTGAGCAATTCCATTGTTAGGTTTGAGTTTTTTTTTTTTTTTTCTTTTTTTACCCCCCTCTTTAATTGTGACTAGGGGTGCCACAGTTCCGGAACCGTCGATTTTGGTTTTGGAACCGATGGTTCTAGTTCCAAAAAATCTGGAACCAAAACGGAATCGGGAATTGATGGTTCTGGCTACGTTTGGAACCGAACTGTTACGGTTCCAATTCCGGTTCTTTAACGGTTCTAAATCAACGGTTCCGATTGGTTCTATATATTAAAAGCAAATTGATTATATTAAAATTAGAAAATTTAAGGAAAAAAAATACATTCTTTATAGTTTTATCTAAAATATAAATAAATCTTAATTAATGATATTACTACTTGCCAGCTAAACTATTTTTATTACAGTCAACATTGTTAGCAAATTTTAGATTTGGTGATTTCGTTTAGGCGTTTGAAGTAGCTAGTTAGGAAGGATTAGGTGAGATTCTTCCTGTAGATAACTCTTATAGCAAAGCCCATTAATCCCCAAATAAGGATAGGCCCAGCCCATTAGACACCTAACTAAGGGCCTTAACAGCTCAAAACCATCACCTACCTATTGTAAAATGAAATAACATCTATTTCATTTCAAATAATGTAATTTTCTAAATTCATTAAAGATTCTTTCTCTAATTTGGAGAAATTATATTTTTATGGAGTTGAGAGGAAAATGGTTAATATTTTTCTTCCCCTTTTCAAACAAGAGAATATCCTTTCCCTTGATATTTTTCCTTGGATATTTTCTTTCCTCCAAAAAAAATTTAAAAGCAATAAAAAACAACAAAATCCTGCTTTCCAAACGAAGGGTAAAAGTAAACTTCTGTGTACAACGTAATATGTTACCTGTTAAAGAGCAGAATCCTGTGTACAGTACATTGCTGAATTTGGAACTAAACTTTGTTTATACTATAAAACACGGATCTTTCCTTGGAGAAATAACCAACCAAAACCAATCCAGTGCAAAGAGAAAACGATAACGGCAATCGGAACAAGTTGAATAAAACTGACACTGTCAGTAGTAGAACTCAATCTAGACCCAATCCCCAACAAGAGTCACTTAGCTACATGAGTTATTTTCTATCCGTTTCATTTAGAAAATGAAGTCTCTAAAAGGATTCTCATATGCTAAAAAATCCACCCATCAATTCCCTTTCCCGTCCTTTCTGTTCTGTTCTGTTCTGTTCTGTTCATAAATTTTCCAATCTCATAGATGTTTGAAAAGAAAACCACACTTGAGAATCAAAATATGAGGAGAAAATCATCAGAATAAATTAAACAAAAAACATTCATTTAGAATGCCTCCTTATGTTTATAAATATCCTCGTAAAAAAATTGCTGTTACAGTATACAGATTTAACATTAATGGTAAAAGAAATGCTGCATCAACTGAAATGTGTATATTTCGATCAACTTAACATGTGGCTGTTGTCCATACAGTGTCTTCCCCAATCATTCTTCTTATGCTAAACCAGCACGTCGCAGTTGCTTTGGGAAGTCATTGTATGTGAAACATTTGAAGCTTCTGCGCGAACCTGCTGGTGTAATTGCAAATCTGATATAATATTTCGACAATTGTCCAACGATTTTCCCAATTTGATTCAATTGTTAAAGGATAGGCACTTTGAGAAACATGAAAACAGAGAAAGTATGATCCGTTTGACCTCGTGTAAACTTTGATAAAAATGTTCTCCATGGAAGAAACCGGTAGGAACTCGCTACAAAACATCATTTGGATTGACCTTTGAGGCTATAAACATTTCCAATTACTCCCACAATTCCAACAATTATTGCCATAATTAACATAAACCATGACAAGAGCTTCTCTCCATGGCTCAAACTCTCTCCTCGTTGGTCCAATCTCAATGCAACAAGAGATGGAAATATAAAACCTAATGATACTGCCGTAGTTGCTCCTGTAAATTTGAAAGCTGTCCAAATGTTGGGAATCATGGTAGAGCCAAAATAAGTGAGTCCCAATAGCACTGCTGTTAATGCCAAAGATCTCTTTCGACTCTCAGAAAGTGGAGGTGATCCTTCAAATAACATGGCATCCACTGTTTGCCTTAAAGAGAAATGAATAACAGGAAAAACAAGAACCAAGTGTAATACATAACCAATCCTGACAATATAATCCAGGGCAGTGCTAAAAGGAACCCCAAGGTCTACATCGAAATTGGTCAATACATCAGATTCAGTATCCTTCCCAAAGAGTAAATAACCTGATACTGCAGTTGAAATGTAAATTCCAATGCAAAGAACAGTCGTGATTCTCCCCACACGATTCATCTTCTGAGGTGACCGCCCTTCGAGTTCATTATATATAGGCTGAACATTAAAATGGCAAACATAGGCATTTGTCATAATGGGAATCACCACAAGCAAATCCAGAATGGCTTTCTTCGAACTAAAATCAGGAGCCATCCTTGGAGACTCAATTTTCCCTTCAACCAGCTTAATAAAAGCAACAATAAAACACACAACAACAAAGACAACAGCTAAAGCCACCGAAGCAGCTGAAGTCATGCTTAGCGAATCAATCTTGTCCAGTGCACAAAGTGGTGCAAGAAAAATCACCACCACAATCAAAATAAGCAACTTCCTTTGATCCCACATCCCGTTCCCCAACCATTGATCAAAAACCCCCAAATGATGGGGCGATCCCGACAAAACGTCACCCAGAATTATCAAATACACAACCATAAAACCTCCATTGTTCACAATTATGCAAATCTCAGACAGAATCTTAGCAGTTTTTCCTAAAGCACTTTCAACAACTTCACCATATGAAGAAGCCTTACAAAGTACCGAAAACCTAACCAACAATTCCACACTAATTTCAGACACAATGCCCATCAGAACAATCAAAATAACCCCCAAAACCAATCCAAGAACCTTCATTGTAGCTGGTAAAGCCATGATCCCAGCCCCGATAATTGACGTAGCGAGATTAAAAACCGCACCATAAACACCAGACTCTTGATTGGATTTAGAAACAACAAATGGGTAATTATCAAGATCCAAATCATCACCATCATCGTCATCGCCCATATCATCACCTACAGCTTTACGATTCTCCATTTTGGAATCCTTATAATTGTCCCCACCATCAAATTGGAGGTGGGTTTTTCTTGGGTATATTGGGGTTTCAGGATCGTGGTGCAATTGTAATTCTACGTATGAAGTCTTTGGCAAAGGTGTGTAATTGCTATCCATTGCATATATATAGAAACAAAGACAACAAAAATGAATGGATCTTGAAATAAAACAAGAAAAGAACAAAACTTACAGGTAAATATTGAGAGGTCCTTAGATCTAAGGATCTAACTCTGAGTCAAACCTTGTTTTTCTGCTCTTGTTATTTGTGTTTGATGGAGGGAGGGAGAGAGAGAAATAGAGCTTGAAAGAGGAAAATGTCTGATTATTGGTGGAAAATGATTTTGGAATTTTTTTTTTTTCAGCTAAAAGTCATGCCACGTCATCTGTGCTCTAACTTCAAACGATGACTTGGTTACATTTGATTTGCTGTCTCCTCTGCCTTACAAAAGCAATGCGTACCAGGTAATGACCTAAGCAAAATCTATTGCTGTTCCCCTATATGATTGGATTTTTTTTTTTTTTTTTTGAAAGATGAAACATTTTTATTTTATATAAATATAGAAAAAAATTTTATATTGAATTTCCATAACATTTAAAGTAATATTATCTGTTTAAAATCTTTGAGGATAGAGAGAACGATCATGTTGAATCTTATTTCTTAAAAAATAGATAATAGGGGAGGAAAAGTGAAAAATTATATTTATACATTTAAAGAAATATGATAGATTGGATAGTGCTATAGTTAAAAGTAATATTAAATAAATATTTCTTTAAAAAAATTATAACTAATTGGATATTCCAATTAATCATTTTAGTGGTTATTTGAGTTGTAGCCTTGTAGGATTTAAGGTAAAATACTGTAATTGTATAATCAAGAAAAGAATGATTATTACGATCATTAAATTTATTGCATTTAATCTATTTTATTTTTATTTTATATAGTGTTTTCAAAGTTCTATTTTTAGTTTTAATGATTCAGCTTTATTATGAGAAACATAAGCTTCACATTTCGTATTTTTTTTATTTTATCACTTTTTACTATAAAAAATTAATAAATAAATAAATATTTACTCATTTTTTATGTTTTTAAATTTCTCAAATTCTATCAAATAGGTAATATAACTTTTAATGATTTATAAATTATCTTTCATAAATTTTTCATATACTTTTTCATTAATATTAAAAAATTATTAAATAATCTAAGGATAATATTGTGCAAATTGAAGGTAAAATTATCAATCGGCAGTAAAATGACATAATTGTAATTAAAAAGATATCAAAAAGATTAAAAGTGAAAATGTGGTAGTATATTAAGGCTAAACGAACAAATTGAATCGATAGCATTACCGTAATTATAAAATATGAAAAGGCTAAAGTGAAAGGATGGTGTTGTAATTTATATATATATATATTAAGGGGTGAATGGAAAAATCTCTGTTGTGGCAACAATGATTTACCACGCGTCTTAAATAATAATAGTAATGTAAATGGGTAATTTTTCCAAATAATAAATTTTGTTCTGCTATTAATAGTCTCAAGCCACCTATGTAACGGTAACAAGTGACACGCGCAGCTTATTTCTCTTCTTCTTCCTTCTTGAGGACTAAAAACAGATTTTTCTTCTCTCTAGAAATTTGATGGCGGAAAGAACTGAAGGGAAATGGTGAATCAGGTAATCGGTCAACGGAAACCCTGTATTTGATTTTTTTTTTTTTTTATTTGTGTTTGGTTTTGAAATTTTTATTTTTCTGCCCTTTAATTTCTATCCTTTTTATTGATTTATGTTAGAGTTTTTCATCTAAATATTAATTTTAAGTATTTATCTAAGCAAAAAGAGTTTAAAATTTTGTCTTTTTATTCCTTTGATGCAGTTATTTGCTGTAGAATCAAAATACCAGAATACAATTATATCGGTCTACGCTTTAAAGGTAAAATTTTGAACTTTATGATTTTATTTGTTAACTGCAAGATCTTAGCTTTTGCATTTTTATTTTTGTTAATGTGTTATTTGCAGTAGAATTAATACTGAAATGGAGATCAAAAGACTTTCTTTCTTTGTAATCTTAGCCCTAGTTGACTAATTGTTCTTGATTGAAATCAGACGGGTACCAATAATTGGGGGTAACTAGCCGAAGTGAAGAACCTGCTATGGATTCAGGTGATTGGAGAATTCAGTTACAGCCTAATCACGATAGAGAATTGTCAACGATATCTTCTACTGTTTTTTTTTTTTTTTCTCTCTCTCTGCTTAAGGAAATGCATATTTTGATATGTTCTTACAACTGTATATTCTTTTGTTATGAAGATTCTTTACAGAGTGTGTATAGAACTGGACATGCAAATGGATGTGATTGGCAAGAGGAAGTCTATCAAGAGGTAATTTTCATGACATATCTGTGCTTGAGAAAATTTATATATGTTATAGGAAATTTACATTTCTTTTAGCTCCCTTCGTATTTTCATGGAACACTTTTATTTTTCATTATGAAGAAATAAATCCTTACTCTTTTTGATAACCTATGGTATTTTTTTTTTTCCATATTTTTATAGATCAAAGCAGAAATGTATTAGTGTTACTTAAATCGTAGTACGCTGTGATACCCGGTAGGGGTATGAGTATGGGTGCAGGGTACAATACTTTTTAAATTTGCGGTAAGCAGTACGCTATATGGATATGTAAGATGATAAAAAAATTTATTGAATTCGCTTTGAATTATATGCATGATAAATAATATAATTAAAAGTAATTATTTAAAACCTATTAAATATGCTAAGTGACTAACTACTATAATTAAAAGTCTAAAATTTAGAGGAGTTTAACTAGAATTTTGACCCTCAGTATTCTATAATAACCGATTGGCTCGATTTGCTAATTTTGGTGTTCTGGTACGCATTTGTATCGCGATTGGGTATGGCGTTTCAGAAAGGCAGTACGGAGTGCAACCCACCGATCTAACTAACATTTTTGCCTGAACTAAATGAGATGTACCAGAAAACGTTGACGAAGATACAGCAGGTAATTGAACATGCTATATATTTGTGTATCAGTTCATTGCCTGAGCATTTCTTGGAAACTCACAGATATGTTATTCTTTGTTTTGCTGCTTGACTATCTTCCACAGCTACCCATGCCAGAGGGACTTGAGAAACTAAAAACATTTAAGACAATGCTAGAGCGCATGATATCATTCTTACATGTTTCAAAAGACAATGTTTTACCTGGTTTCAAGGATAAGTTGGGTGCTTATGAGAAGCAGATTGTGAAATTTATAAATGCAAATAGATCCAGAGAGAGAACTTCTGAGCTTCAGTCTCGTATGGGATCATTATCACTAGCATCATCGTAGGCTTCTAATGATATGGATCTGGACCTTTAATCATTTCGCATTTATGGGTTTGGTGGATAACTGGATTCTTAGAAAATGACAAAGATAAAGAAACAGAAAGGCAGAACCTGAGAATTCTTGGAATGACGATGATTTTTAATGTTGATTCACAAAGCAGTAGAACCGAAACTGATGTCTTTGATAAAGACGAAGAGGGCAAAAATGGCAAGTTATTGGTGAAAATTGTTACTTACTAGAGAACTATATATAGTTGGGCCAAAAAGGCCTAAGCCCAACACAGTGTACTTTTGAATGATGTTCCAAGTTTTGAGCAAGGGATTTTGTTTTCGTATGTTTGTTTATATGGGAAAAATTTTATGTAAACGGGTCCATGAGGTTTTTTTATTAAAACGATGATATTTTTTACCATATATTGAAAAAAAATAAGATTGAAACAATTTTTAAAGAATAATTACCGTCGTTGGTTCGATCCATAAGTGTGGCTATAAATCCGATCTAAACAAGTAATTTTCAGTTTATATAGCATTGCATGTACATGTGTTGCACATAATTTTTTGAAATCTATTAAGTATATAATTTTAATTATAGGATTTGATGCTTTAAAATTTGATTAAATTTAATAATATAATGCAGGACGCATAATTTACTCGAATTTTATAAGTAATATGTTTTAAAAATGTTCTAATAAATTAATAATTTTAAGATTAAAGCGAAAACTTCCATTTAAGTTAATAGTACTTAAAAATTTCATAGAAAAAGGATGTTATCCGTGTATGAATTTTCTTTTATTCAATCAACGAATCCTACGGTAAAGGTTTTATTATTCAATTTCGTATTAATAAATTGATAATATACATGTATATTATTTAAAATAACTATTTAAGTGTTTATTCAACTATTAAAGAGAGATGGAATACAAATAAAAATTAATGGAACGTAAATATATCTCCACTCATAAAATAAATGAGCTATTAATTTTGTCTATTAGATGAGGTCTGATTGGTTCCTCACTTATGTAATGAGTAAGAGATCTCAAATTGTGTTTTTATCGATTTGGTGAGTTCAGAAGAATGGTACTCCTGGATTTTTAGTAATATATATTGACAACTTTTTGAATAAATAAACAAAATTACATTTTGACAACTTTTAATAATATATATTGCTTAAAGAAGTTGTTTCTTTTAATTAATATATTAAATTGTTACAACTTATCAATAATGGTTAAAATTTACAATCATCAATGATTCCATTTTCATGTCTCAGCCCTTAATCCTACTTTCACACCTTTCTTTGCTTTTGTGAAATATCACATCATTTTATTTTTGTATCTCTCTATAGTGTGAAAGAGAGATTGAAAAGGAAAGTTCACTTGTTACAACTTTCTTATTGTTGGTCCAATAGTAAAAGGTTGAGGATCATTATGGTGAGATGAGAACAAGCACAAGGAATATAAACTTTAATTTCTCACTTTGATACACAGAGTTGGAACCGAAATAACATTATGAGTTATACAGTAAGGATAACTTTCTCCTTCGAATAATATTTACTAAATTAATGATAATTTTTATAGTGAAGATGACTTGAATCCGAAACTTCTCGCTTCTTATATATTTTATAAGTTGCAGAAAAACTATGAATGACGATAGATCAGGTACCTACTTAAAATATACTACTCAAACCCGATTATAAATTTACGTTTATTATCCGAACTCATCAAAACCCATTTAACATTATATATATTCATCAAAACCCCATTTTAACAATCTATATATATATATTATATATTATATATATATAGTTTTCTTTTTGAGAAGTTTTCTTTTTGAGAAAAAATAATTATTTTAAATATTTTTAGAATATTAATTAAACGGGTAGCGAGTATCTGTGTCTTTAAACTGGAACTTGCTTCGCAACTCAATATGAATAGTAAAAATGCTATTCAAATCCATTTCAAATCAATTAAAATTTGATCAATCAAATCATGTAAATTGTCATTTCTAGGAAAAACAAATCAGATGATACATGATTAATATAAGCTATTCTCTCTTTTATTTATTTATTCTTTATTATTATTATCTGTATTATATTTTCATATCAATTTATACGCATATGTTACTAATACAAATAAAAACATTTGGAATTAATACAAATAATATTATAATGTAAAAATTAGCCTATCAAATTATGAAAAAGAGAAATTTAAATCCTTGTTAAAATGGACTAACATGTTAGAATTTAATATTATTATTGAACATTTTGATGTTAATGGCTTTTGTTGGAGATGGTGGGGCTGACATTGACAAATTAATTAAAACAATCTCGTTCCCATCATATTCTTTTTTTTTTTTTTCTTTTGAAATGACCAATAAAGCAATCCATAGTGATTTCATATCTTCTTTCAATATTTCCTAAATAGGTATAATTATGAATAAGTTTTCTAGAATTAATTATGAATAATTTTGAGTTGACGTTTTACTATTCACCGAGTATTAATAAAATTGTTAATAGGATGGGTTGAGGGAGAAGAATGTACTATTTTCTCGATCTATGTAAAACATTACGTACCGATAAAATATTAATTAAAGTCTATCTGTTATGATTTAGTTGATTTTTTCACTAATATGATTAATGAAAATTTTTTAAGTTTGAGTCATCTCAATCATAAGCGTTTTCAATAATATTTTTTTTTCAATTTTACACTTATTTATATTAAATACATAATAATAATGCGAAATAAGAGTAACAATGTGAAATAAATGGTAATTTGAAGAAATTAAGTGTTTTCTTAATCCCGCATAATAATATTAATTTTCTTATTATAAAATTTGAATTGCTTTAATTTATATTTAGCATGCAAATAAAATTTAAATATTCTTACAACATTTCGTTAGACATGTTCAAGAGTTCAAATATTGGGTTAGACATTTAAAAACTGTACTAAAACGTTATTGCCCGTTTATTCTATCAATTTTTTTATAAAAAAAATTATAATTAATTAGTTGTAATTTAAAAAATAATATATTTTTAAATCCGGCTAATGACAATTTTTTAATTATAATAATTTGAACTCGCCTCTACGCATTAACCACTCAAAAAGGATGCGAGAAGATGAAGAACACTTTTTTTTATTATTATTTTTTAATAATGGACCTCACAAATAAGTTAGGAATTATGTCATGTCAACTTAAGAAATACCGATAATATTTCGCGAGAATTTAAAAAATTGTTATTACGGGTAGATATTTTGTTTTATTCAAACTTAAAAAAACCTGAACAGCGACAATTCGTTGCGATATCTCGAGGATATATCGAGAGAGAGTGGTTGCTACTTGGCCAGATAATATAATAAAAGAAAGTCAAAAACAAAATAAAAGAGCGCGTACGAATGATGGACGTGGAGAATGGACTTAACAATACGACACATCATCCTTGATAGACCTTAGCTCTATCTTACTAGCCATTTTATATTTCGGTTAAAAATTAAAAAAAAAAAAATTCGTATTTTTAGTAATACTTGAAAATAATGGGTCAAATAAATGGTGCTTCCTTTGACTATTAATAATCAGATTTTTTTTTTTTTTGAGAAATAAAATGTTCAAGGAGATTCGTAGTGAAGCATGATAATATAATTGCACGTGTTCAATTAGCATTTGATAATTTTGACTTCTCATTTACCAACATGTATATATTTTATCATAAGATTTTAATTTATTTTTTAATTAAAGATTTTACCATCAAGTTAATAATGTGGAAGAAAAATTATCACAATTTATATTATTTGGTCAATTTTTTTTTTTAAGTATGTTTCCTATTTTATTAGTCTCCCCATGGTAATATTCTACTTTTAATAAGACAAAAAGAAATGTACACATGAGTATACTATTCTTGATACTTATCTAACTATTAATTTAAAAAAAAAATCAAAAAATAGGTTCTAATTATGAAAAAATTAAATACTTTAAAAACAATTGAACTAAATAATAATATAAAAAACTATTGGGTCTTACTTATGATTTTCACTTTTTTTTTATTTGTAAAATAGTTCAATGAGCTGAAATAATATTGTAGGCTCTTTTAACTCATCAATTTAATGAAAACTCTTGTAGTTGAGAGAATTCAAATTCGAAATTTCTTATTAATCACATAAGTGAAAAGACTAATAAAATCATGTCCGGTTGATTAATTCTCAATATTTTTTTAAATAATTAAAAACAGAAGTAGAAGATAAAAGAAGTAAATAAAGGATTAAAAGCGTGAAACGTGCGTTTGGTAGTGGTTCACGTTTCATTGAATAACAAATACCCAAATTCATGCAATAAAGGCCAAAACTGGTCTTTTCAATTAATTCATTCTATTTTCAGTTTAAAAATATGATTTATCAGTTAATTGTCCATTTATTATTCGCCGTTGGATTTTTCTTAAACATATATATTTTCTAATTTAATCAAAACTTTCACTTCATTATATATATTGAATCACTAATTAACTTTATGTATATATTCACTAATTAACTTTCTGTATATATATATATATATATATATATATAATATATTATAGTATTAATATATATAAATTACTAATTCAAACCTATTAAGGTACGATTGCCTTTTGAATTTCAAAATTGCAATTTTAACCATGGAAAAAAATAAGTGATACAAAACAATAAATAGATTGCCAATAAAGTAATTTCTAAGTTTTAATAGTTGATATCTCAGCTTTTGAATCTCAATCTTACAAGTAAAGTTCGTTTGAGAACATAATCCATTATCCTTTATCCAACTATTTTTTATTAATGGAATTTTTATATTTTTAAATAATATAAAGGCTCGTTGTTAAAAGGAATGATTAATTTATTATAGGGACATACATTGTTATTTAATAAGTGTAGGTTTAAGAAAAAATTATACAAATATGTTGCTTTTAGCAATTAATTAATTAATATGGAGAATAAAAAAAAAAAGGAGAATTTTAGGAAAATCAAGGTTTTGAATTAGGGTATATAAGTAGTTAGGTATAACTTCCCTTTCCAATTCTTAAGCATGGAAGTCAAAATAGATCTAACCATAGTGCGTTTAGACGAAGGCAAAGGGACTAATGATATGATAATTAACGTCTTAAAAATCAAAATGGATTGAGTTACGTGTCACTTCCAAAGCAAAGGGAGGGCATTAGGAGTAAAATAACGTCCTCATCATCTAAAGAAAGAAAGACACAATTTTTTTTTTTATTTTTTTTTTTTTTTTTTTTTTTTGCATTTTTGCATTAAGAGTAGGAGATTTTATAAATAAAAAAAATATTTATTTACGGTCTAACCCAAAAATTAGACCGTAATCAAGATAATTTTTTAATAATCAATAATTAAATAACTAATTGCAACTGCTGTATCAAACAAACCTTTACCCTTTTTGGT